AACCAGATGCAATGCAGCTCTTAATGGAATGGCCTTTCTTTGCAAAAAGGAATGGTGCTTAAATTATTGATTTTGCTTATCACGCACGGTGATTTATATCATCAAATCAGCTAGTGTGCAGTTGCTGGGTGGATTGTTGCATTGCAAGATCGTCTGAGATAGTGGTGGCTTGGGGCAGCCTTCATCCAGCAGTGGATTATGGCTGATTAGTTTTCTATTCTGTAGTATATCAGACCATCTAAAACTAAGAAGACGACGAGTTCTCATAGCAACACAATCATACCAGTGTGTGTAATGTTTTTATGCATTGCAATGACCCATTTAAGTGTATAATCATGCATTATACTTGCATGTAATTAATGTTTCAATTGTACGTGTGTTTTACCAGCCTGCATGCTTGACAACATGTAATCCCATGCTTGCATTTGGAATATCTGTCACATTTTATATTCACGGATTATTTTTTCCCCAATAAATTTAAGGGTTAATTAAGATTATACAATAGCTTCTACAGCATGACCTCATTACAAATAAACATCCAGATGGAATTAACTACCGTCTATGATTTAGCGTATTATTGATGGTCTGTCAGAATATCCCCATTCGCCTTAAATCACAACATATTCATCACTAATTTCCTCGTATCTAATGCGTTAGCGTTTTAAACAGTTGGTCAACAGCACTGTGCAGTAAATGTTATTTAGTCACTAGTTTTTTTCATAAAAAAGTAGATTTTTTTTAATGCTTACATTAGTTATACCTTCCACAATATTTTTATGAACACAACACGTGAAATCACAGCAACAGTTGTGTATTAAAAACAAAAGTGTGAATGTTGTTTAATGAAATCAACAATATAGAGTACCTGAAAATCTGACATGTAAATGCATGTATTACACAGTTTGCCTCAAAAGAAGATATCAGCTGGTGAATACCCGTGTCACCACGTGCAAAAGGCAGGTTACCATGCCTAATAACTTTAATGAACATAAAGTGTCCAACCACTGAGATGCACAGATGTCAGGATTCTACCCCCGAGTAAAGCATGTGGACTCCACGCGTTCAGTTTCCCAACGTGATGCCAACATGTATAATTGAAGAGCTGCACTTCATTACAGATTTTAAAGATCTCTGCTTCATAGATTAAGCAGTCTTCAATAATAGACGGGAATGCTTTTGGTAATTGCACTCTAAAAAAGCATGTCCACCAAGTATTTTTGTTTTACTTTATTCGGGTTTTACTACGTGTGACTTCGTCACCAGTTGTTTAAGTCGACCACAAAGGGAATGTAAAATTACGGTAAATGTTACCACCAGGGGGTACTGGTGCAATGTTCACAGATTGCGACTCTGTACCAACCGCTTGCTGCATATGGCTCGTGCAGCAGCAGCACCAAACATGCAACACCGGCACGCATGTTAACACCGGCAACAGGGGAATTGTACAGCAACAGCGGCAGCCTGCTTTCAGAAGCTATACCTGACATCAGAGATATACCTAATGTGCTTCAGGCTTCTTCTTGGTTCTTTCGGTAAAGTCACGTAGAAGGGACGTAATTAAATAATAAAAATAAAACATAATAAAATAATTCTCACGACGTTTCGGCCACATTATCATTTTATTACTTCCCTTCTACAGTGACTTTACCGAAAGAACCAAGAAGATGAATTCCTGCAGTCACGAAAGGTTTAAATCGAAATTTAACGGCTTCAGGCTTCTTCAAGACTTAGGGGGGTTTGTTGATGATCGGGGGCTTAAATATGACATGAGTATTACTTTTATCAATATTTATACAATCCAATTATTGGAAAATATCTTCAAGTGTAGCATTATATAATGTAATTAATTCACTAAAACATTTACAGATGCATTGTAGAAGTTCAAATATTAACGTATTATATAAATGCAAACTTTTGCTATCTAGATGTATGCAATGTGGGATCTCACCATAATACATAATTGTATATAGTAATTATGTAACAAACTAAAACCTATTGATAAGCAGGTTTTGTGGCTTCAGGTCTGTGTAGGGCAAGAACTTTAGCAAATGTTATATTGAAGACTAAAACATGGGTTATATATAAATTCCATTCCAAAACAAGCCAAATTTTATATACTGCACTATGCCATAGTTGTTTCCAATGGTGATTTAATGTTTTATAAACTACCCAGGGAAAATGCTATATACAAGCAATACAAACAGGACCTTGCGGGGTGGGCTGGTAGGAACGAATAACCAAAGAATATAAACATAATGTATTATTACACTTGTTTAGCCAGGAAAGCCTCACTGAGTCTAAAGGTTTTTGTAGGGTCCTGCCAAGTGTTTGCAGTAGGGGGCGATGTTGCTACACCTAATCGGACATCGGACGGACGGACGATATAATCTATTGTAGGCTGGTCCACTTCGTTCCTACCAGTATAATCTATTGTAGGCTGGTTCACTTCGTTCCTACCAGTATAACCAATATCTTAAACACAGGGACTGTTAATTCAGTGCTCTGAAATGTGATTTGGCATTCATGACAAATAACTAATTAACACAGAAATGTAGAATTGGTGTAATGCTGCTCACCTGATTCAACGGTCAATGTCACAATTACAGCTATAAAATATTTAAAGGTAATTAAGCTCGTTAATTTTTTCTACTCATAATTTAGTAATGTTTTAAATGTTCCAGACTTATATGGTAAATCACATCTTTGTCAACCAAGCATTAATTTAACATCATATATTAGTGCAAAAAGACAAGTCTTATGAAATACGTATACAAAAATATTGTACAAAATATATTGTGCGTTCACCATTGGAACCTCCTTTGCCAGTAGCAAAATATGATAATTGTTTTTTTACCCTTTTATCTGGCAACAAAACTGACACCTTTTTTTACAAGGAGTCATGTTTGCATTGTCCACAATACCTGCGGTCGGAATGCAAACAAAAAAAACAACTGATGCACTGTCCTTGAAATTTCATGTTTGCATTGGCCACAATACCTGCGATCCTTGAAATTTCAAGGACAGTGTATACATTGTGTTTTTTGTTTGCATTCCAACCGCAGGTATTTATGGTCAATGCAAACATGACTCCTTGTAAAAAAAGGTGTCAGTTTTGTTGCCAGATAAAAGGGTAAAAAAAACAATGATCATATTGTGCATTGTTTTGGTCAATTGTCGGTAATGCAAAACATGCATTAACAGGCATGGTTCTGGCGCCCCAAATAAAATCTGACTTAGGTTTACGAACCTACGAGTGTTTTCAGCAGCATTTGTTTAATTCAGTAAACTCTGGTCCAGTTTTGAAAGTCTCAAAGGTGCGCCTATTAAAAATAGTTGCTGTTGGAAAACATTGGTCCAAAACACCCAAACAAGGGCGAATGGACCTATATCTGATTTCACTTCAAATCCTTTCATGTAATTATTTATGAGTTTATTATCCACTATCCACAACTATCTCAAAATAATGTATGTATAGGTATTGTACTCTGCCAAATGGCTCCCATGGCGCAAATGTGAAACGTACCAACTGGTTAGTCCAGATGGTAAGATGACGAATCATGAGCGTGTGCTATTGATCCATTTGTTGAGTGAGCATAGCTGAATGCTTTAGAAGTGGTTAACCTTTACTGCAGCATTGCACCTCCTTTGGTTCTCAATCGTTAAAAAATGTATGTTAATACATAGGTTTGATGAAACAAAGTCGTTGTACTTACGTGCCCGTGCTTAATGTGTTTCGATGATTTACCTTAAAAAAAATCAGCAATGTCTCGCACCCCCAGGGGGTGCGTGCACCCAAGGTTGAGAACCACTGGTTTAGAATGTGGTGTTTGCAAGCAAGCATAAGAAAAAAAAGGGAACTAGAAGTGGAGAGTTATGGTTCCTGAATCGTGCATGTGATCACAAGATTAGTCATACATGGTCACATAAGCAATGCATGAGACGTAGCAGCCCTTAATTGGTATCAGCTCAGCTCAAGTTGTCACTAATGGGACGTCCAGCTACTGGCTACGAAGATGCTCAAGTAATTAGCTCATAAAGTTAAAAAAAAATTCGTTTTCCATTTATGGCAGTGGACAGATAACCTTTCTGTAATTGTATTATTTAATGTATTTTAGTGGCAGATTAGTATTGGGGTGAGTGCATAATATTAAGCAGTTGATTTTTTAAAAGTACAGCAGCCATGACATGGAAAATCGTGTTACATTTAATTATTAATCATAGTTGTAGACATTTTAATGTCATACAATTTGACTCAATGATGACCCTCACCCTGCCCCCACCCAAGCAGTCACCATCCTTCATGGTCTCATGATGCAAGAATCCATCTCGCGCTTGCTCGCAAGCCTTTCATCGCTCCATTTATGCAGTCCTCTTCAGCTTGTTCCCCGCTGTAGGGGTCACTTCATAGTTGTCCAATGTCTTACTGATCCAAGACAAAGCTTTGGATCAATAATTATGGCACACTGCTACGTAGTTTCAATCCACGCCTGTCACCATACTGTGCACCGTAACCAATTTCTTGGCACACAAGTCCTACCCATGCTTCAAAGGCAAGCATGAACATGTTTCCAAAGCCCATAAGCCTGATTAGTAATTGTTTTTTAAAATATTTTACAAAGATGACAAATTTTATTCATTAGACATGAGTGGTCATTAAACATGTTAAGGAGATTGTAATTAATTCTACACAATTTTGCTAATCTGGCATGCGCGATTTTAACTTAAAATGTGTTTTGAAAAAGTGACCGGCATGGTTCATGTTACATTTGTTTTCACACACACTTCATGAAATGTAAGTTCCTTGACTTAATGCTTTCGTGACTGCAGGAATTCATAGTCTTTGGGTCTTTCGGTAATGTCACGTAGATGGGTTCAAAAAAACTACAACGTAATTTTTAACCGATCTTCGTGACTTTACCAAAAGACCCAAAGAAAATGTAAGTTCCTCTTTGATAAAGTACATTGAATCATTCAACACAATTTTTCATTATTTTGCATAACAAGATTTGAACATTTAATTTAAATCAGATACCTCCACAAAAGACAGTACCACTTTTTATCCAGATATAAGAGTTTTCAGTTTAAGATACTTTATCAAACATTGAGTTTATTAAAACCCATACAATCAGCATAGCATCTCATTTGTGTAACTGCAAATTCAATATTGCACAAGTTGACTAAACTCACTAACAACCTAACTTACCCAATTAGTTTGTAAATCCCACTTTTACTGCCAATGTTTGCACGAGCTCCCACATTCCATCTGCCAGACTTGGGAAACTCAACTCGCAGCAGTGGGGGTGCAGATTGAAAATCTTTTGCTGCTTACAGAACCAGTGATTCTCAAATATTGTCCTTAAGTTAAATTTCCCTATTGGTCACTTTTGAGGACCAATGGCCTAAACTACTGTCTCCGTAACATGGAGTACACACATGAAGATAATATAAAGACAATGAGCACTTTATACATATTTCGAATGAAACATGAGTTTTGTATTCACATTTCAATTTTAGGATAAGCACATTTAGATTTAAGCTCAAAGGAAACACCAATAATTGACAAAAATACAGCACCCTCCTTTGCATACAAAAAAATAAATGTACCATATGAAAAGCAATAATTGCATATATATGCTTTCACATGATAACTATGACAAAAACAACTTTACTTTCTTATAGAAATGGTGACAATATCAGCCCAAAAATATTTGAGTTTACATGATGGGTTTCAACACTTGTAAAAACAGCAGTAACTACTTAATATGTTAAAAAATAAAGATCCCGAGCAAGAAATATGTTGCACCTATATAATAAAAAGCTGTCAATTACAAAGGCAATTTGATCGACAAGTGTCCTGTTATACAACACATCAAGAATCTGTAACAATGTCTGACAGTGGGAGGAATGTAAAAATGAGCAAGCTTCAATATGTTGTCCATATAAACCCTATATGTGATGCTTACAGTGTTTCTGGAAGAGAGTCAAACCCTCATGTGCTATTCGATTGCTCCTGCTGAAAGAGCAATGAGGCAAGCTGTGAGCGCGACGCCAGGCTCTCCAAGTCGCTTTGGTGGCAGCGGTGATATACGCCCTCGCTTAGCCGGGGGTTACACGCCCTCCGCAGGTGAGTGTGGCGCAGCGCAGGCTCCGCTCCGCGGAACACATGCAGTGAGGAGTGGCGCACAAAGAGGCCATATAGGTCGTCGTCGTCCTCAGACGCGTCCTGCGCCATGGGGTCCTGGGCGGGGGGGCCCTCTGCCACCATGCGGGAGCGCGCTGCCATGTAGTCCGAGTTGTAGAAACAAGCCTCGTCAAAGGCAGCACGGTCAAAGTGGCCGGTCTCACGCGAAATATCTTGTGACGTCGTCGGCTGACGCTCTGGGTCTCGGTACACCAATTGCGGATCATATTCCTACAAGGATGAGAATGGCTTGGATTAGCTACAAAACCGGAGACTGGGGAGAATTTTTTTTTCCAATAAAACATGTGTAAATGAGGTGAACGCAATGCATACCTGGAAGTGTATGGGGAAAAACACCTGCCAGCCCGCGATGGCATTCATGCGGCAGCGGTTGAGGAAGTCTATGGTGAGCTGTGAGCCCACAGAGGCCACCAAGAAGAGTGTATCGACTGGATGCTTTTTAGACAAGATGTCTATCAGCTTCAGTTGGGATGGCACATCTGTCTTCACACTGATCCATGGAAACTTCACCTCGGGGTACCGACGCTCGTAATCACCCACCTCTGCTTTCACTCCAGCAAAGATATCATCTTCGTTAACCTGTGAACACATATTAGGAGTACATATCATCAGCCTTGGTAAATCAACTGCTGCATGAAAGCCTACCTCAGCCACTGCCTTCTCTCACGATCCCGAGATGTAGAATGTATTGCACAATAACGAGCATAGACTTGCCTTCTGTGCATCAAATGGATCGTAGACGAAGAGGAGCGTGAGCACGGCATTTTCATGCGTCTCCAGCACCTGGTTGGCGTACGACGCTAGGAAGCCAGACACGTGCTCGCGCTCGTGCACCGTGAGAGGCAGCACAACGTGCACACGCGTCGCCTCTGTAACATAGGGCATGGGGATGATCTCCACTGTTCCCAGGGGTCGCACTAAGTGCACTCGTTTCACCAGGGTGCGGCTGTTTCCACGCTGCGTCGAAACCTGCACATTACATTAGAACACAATGGGAGCAAAATGACAAGGAATTCATAATTAAGATGTAATCATGGCCAAAGCCCTTGATGTCATCACACCTCACCAATGTGGTATACCTTCTACCAGAACCAGCTGCTGTTACACAGTATACATGTGATCTCCAACATGTTGCCTTAAGAGTATCACGCTAACCAGTCTTGGGTCTTCCCCTTGGTCGTTGGACTCTTAAAGATCACTCAAATGCCTGTCCTGGTAACCTGCCTTCCTCCTTCACACAAGTCCTACATAGTGCAATCGTTTTTGCTCAATAATATGTACAACATTCACCTGGCATGTATGAAATTCAACTAGATAGTATTCTATATTCTTTGGTTCTTTCGGTAAAGTCCCGTAGGTATAAAATAAAATACTGATTTATTTTATACCTACGTGACTTTACCGAAAGAACCAAAGAGTATGGATTACTGCAGTCACGAAAGCTTCAAATCAAGATTAGATAGTATTCTACTCTAGACATGCAAGCAATAGTTGTTCATATTCACCCACCTCCAGTGATAGATCAAGGGTGTACTCCATGCCACGAGTGGGGTCAAAGCGGCGGTAGCCGTTGACGAGCGCCAGTTTGCGAAAGCGAAGTATTGGGCGATAGCGAGCATTCAGCTGCTCCACAGCTGTCTCCACGATGTCGGTCGCATCCATGCGGTCGGCCCCTCCTAAGGAGCACTTGGGGGAGCCGTCGATGCAGGAGAAGCTATACTCCTCATTGAAGTGCTCCCAGGAAAGTACTTCGAAGCGTGAGCGTGGCTGATATGGAGCATTCACACCAAGAGGCCAAGTTGCACCCTTCTCCCCTTCTGGAGTCTCCACACTAACATTCTTGATCTCTGCCTGCAAAGATTGGGTCAAAACCACCATTAACTTTTTCATTCAACATTTTAAGATAATAATATTCGCTGCTTCATAAGTGTAACGTGTTTATTTGATTACGCATCATTTTCCAATGTGGACATCTTGCAAACCTGGAGGAGCTTTATTTCATGATAGGTTCTCTCCAACTCGATTTCAGTGAAGCGCTTGTGTAGGCGGTACATCAGCACGGGCTCGGTCACAGGCCACACAGTGTAGGCATTCTCAAACTCGGGCCCTTCCTCTCGCTCAGGATCCACATTTTTTCCCAGCTCAAATGTGCGGTATCTTTGCTCCTGGAAATTATAAATATACAGAGCAAAGTTGTGATCTCACGCTCCTTTCAATTGATACAGGGACCATGGACGTTCCTCAAAAAATGTTGTTTCCTACCTGTTGCTTATTGGAGCATGACAGGTGAAGTGTATCGATAAGGCAGCGACCAAGCCACTCATCTGCCCGAGAGCTCAAGATGTCATCCCGACAGCTCTCCAAGTGAGGGTTCAAGTCCAACAAGGCCTTGCGGGACAGCACGAATCCGTAGCCCCCGTGGCAGTAGTGCCCTTGGCTGCCCCCACCCATGGCTCCATCCACATCTCCAACATTCATGATGAACTCCTCCGGGTGGCCTAGATAAACCTTTGCATCGATGCTCAAGTGCCCAACGAGTTCTTTCACACGCTCTGCCTGCAAACAAGTGAACAGTTTGTGTCAGTGCTTGTAACTTAACAAAAAAGATGCAAATTTCCACCTTTCTGAAACACACCCAAGCAAAAATTGGCATCTACCACCGATACCAAATTTTAGAATCAATGGAAACTTGCGTTATTATGATACCTGCATGTAGGAGTCATCCTGCGCGAAAAAGAACCAGTCGTAGTCTGCGCCATGGTGGTCGTGCACGTAGCGCAGCGTGTGGTACATGTTCCACACGGGCCGCTCGTCCCCATGCGTCACCACGTTCATGCCCTGAGGAGCGCGGCTGGGTGAGCGCTGCCCCGTGAAGAAGAGAGTGCGTGGCAGGTGGTGACCCGCCGTGCGGTTCACGGCCACGGCCAGCGTGGGCAGCGTGAGCCGCGACGTGAGGACACCAACCAGCAGCCGCTCCCGTAAGCCCAGCTCCGTGCTGATGTAGCGTGGCCTGGGGGTGGGGTGGGGATCGCCACGCGTGTTGGCGTTCAGACCTTGCAATGCAACACGTAAGCCGATTTGATACACGGCCCATAAATGTTTTTTTCAGAGTGGGAAATGTCAATAAAAAAAACGTCGACTTACATATACAATAATGTCAAACTGCTGAGTAAAGGAGCAAAAATGTTCTTATATATTTTACTCTAAAGCCTCAAAGTCGGCCAACTTGGCCTGTAATGTTTGTTCGGGTTACCCACAGATGCGTTTCACCGACAACCTGTATGGGTCTTGATTTGAAGCTTTCGTGACTGCAGGGATTCATATTATTGGTTCTTTCGGTAAAGTTACGTAGAAGGGAAATAATAAAATATTAATGTAAAACAATTGTTTTATATTAATATTATTTTATTATTTGTTTTATATTAATATTATTTTATTATTTTCCTTCTACGTGACTTTACCGAAAGAACCAAGAATATGAACCTGTATGGGGGGTTTGTTTCGGGGTGAACTATGTTGAGGACACAAATAAGTGGTTACCAGATTTCGTCAAATATATTTTTTATTTATACAACATCTGACACTTCTCAGGAGGGTTCTACTGATCTACCCATCACGGGTACGAGTGAATAACCCATCACGAGTACGAGTAGATAGCGATAAATCCCATTAGCACAGCCGGATTAAAGGAACACCCACACTCGGTGTACTGACACCTCCTGGGCCACCACGTAGCACAGCGGCTGCCAAATATTCACATTTCACAGCACCACCGATGCCCCCAAATCATCACCACCACCACAGATGCCCCCAAAGCCTCCGTGCCCTAGCGAGAAAGCCTCAACAACGTCGTCGTCATCCATCAGTCATCATGTTCATCATCATCATCATCACGCTCACCGGATCATCTTGGCCTTGCGGGGCTGGTCTGCGGGCCGCGTGTAAGGCACGATACGCGGCTGGTAGTCCTCGCCCTCCACGTTGCCGACGATCGAGTTGGGTCTCCGCACGCTGCTGCTGCCACCGCCGCCGCCGCCTCCTCCTCCTCCACCTGCAGAGTCCTGGCCGAGGTTGTCCGTGGGCCCCCCCCCGCCGTGTCCGCTCATCTCCTCCCCGTGCCTCCCCGCTGGGCCACGAGGGCCGCACGTCTCCTCCATCCACGTGAGGCCGAGCAGCGAGAGCGTGAAGCCCAGCGAGAGGCCCAGCAGCACGGGCACCAGGGGACGCACGGCCGACAGCAGCGTCCGGTAGCGCATGGTGGTGGTTGGCGGCGCTCGATGGGAGGGAGGCCTTGGGGAGTTGATGGAGGTGCTGATGATGAAGGCTGTTGGCGTAGACGAGGCGTTGACGACGGAGGGTTAACGAGGAAGGAGCTCGAGTCAGAGCCCCACTGCTCGGGGCGCCATCATGGAGCTCGTGAGAGGCGGGGCTACTGACAACGATCGACCGGCGTCGATGCCCCCTGGCCACGCCCCCCTACCTCGGCTCTTTCGTTGTCGCCAAACGCCCTGGGGGCTGACGCGGCGCTCACGGGGACGCGGCGGCGCGGCGAAGCGTTGCCCCCGGGGCGGTTTGCGTCTTCAGAGCGTCGCGAGCCGCCGGTCTCCGGCACCACGAAGACGACGCGGGGCAAAGGCGGCGTCGGTCGAGTTCCAGCGACCGCGGTGGGGTGTGGAGGCAGCAGCCGAGGCCACAAGAGGGAGCCCTAGAGCAGTTGTTCATCACTCATCTTCAGAGGGAGTTTGGGGGGGGGGCACTTTCGCTGAGAAGACATTATCAGTGTGAGGCCCTGCCCCCCTCCCCAAACCTTTGCGATTTGCTAATCGTATTGTTTCAAATAGCAATTTCGATTTGAAATCGATTAATCGTTCAGCCCTCCCAACCCTACCACCACATTTGAAACCATTCAGGTTTGTGACAGCATGATTGGGGGTGTTTTCACATTGGTGTAGTCGGGAAACAGCTCTCAAGGCCACTAGGGGCCACCAGGGGCCACCAGGGGCCATCAGGGGCCTCCAGTGGCCACCAGGGGCCACCAGGGGCCACCAGTGGCCACCAGGGGCCACCAGGGACCACCAGTGGCCACCAGTGGCCACCAGGGACCACCAGGGGCCACCAGGGGCCATCAGGCGCCACCAGTGGCCACCAGGGGCCACCAGTGGCCATAAGGGGCCTCCAGTGGCCATTAGGGGCCATCAGGGGCCACCAGTGGCCATAAGGGGCCTCCAGTGGCCATCAGGGGCCACCAGTGGCCATAAGGGGCCTCCAGTGGCCATCAGGGGCCACCAGTGGCCACCAGTGGCCACCAGGGGCCATCAGGGGCCACCAGTGGCCATAAGGGGCCTCCAGTGGCCATTAGGGGCCACCAGGGGCCATCAGGGGCCACCAGTGGCCATAAGGGGCCTCCAGTGGCCATCAGGGGCCATCAGGGGCCACCAGTGGCCATAAGGGGCCTCCAGTGGCCATAAGGGGCCTCCAGTGGCCATCAGGGGCCACCAGGGGCCACCAGTGGCCCACGGGCCTTGCAATGAGGAACCCTGGAATAGGGGGAGGGGAATCCATCGTGCTGAGCTTACGGAGTGAAACGCAGCCACGGGTGGTGGACAAACCACTCGGCGCCAGGAGAGGAGCGTCGAGCGCGTGCTGTCTTGGAAAGGCTTTCAACTTCCCATCATCACGCGAGACTTGAGTTAAATCCCCAATCATTTCACACTGATCCCAGTTAAAATCAACAATGCCCCCCACCTCCCACAAGTCACATCGGCCTTGGCCAGTTTCCTTTACAACACAAGCCGATCTGAAAGCTCACTGGAAGCCTTTAAGCTTCCCCCAATTAAACACAATGCACTCCCCGTTGAGTGGAACTATGGAGCAAGCCTACCTACACAGTGAAGTTAATCTGAGGTGGCGCATTCCCGCACCTCCGATTAGCACGTAAATTCAACATACGTTAAAGCTAGACAATTAAATACAATCAATCCCTTAGTTGCTGCTCTAAACTCGCCAGCCAGCCGCAAGTCACGTTCCCTGTTAGTCTCCAGCAACCTTTATTGACACCACTTCACACTGCCCTGTCCACACTACATGTGCTACAAGCATCGACGCAAAATGTGCAGATATTGGGACCTCTTTGGTCATCACCCATCCAAGCCACCCAACATTGGCTCATTGCAGCAATGTTAAAACGGGAAATTATTTTCAATTCCGTGGATTTAATTCGGTGCATACACTAGTAATTTAACTCTGAGTGGAGATCAGGATGTTGGTCTCCGGATAAAAAGGCTGCTTTGAGATTAATGGCGAAATCTGATTGAGCAACCACTTGGTGAATGTGCCCCAACACAGGATCTGTTTTAAGTTTCACAATTAACAATCACGAATAAGATCAATGGTTCACTGCTTCATAGCACTCTTGTCAAGTCGTATACTATGTTGGCTACCTTAATCTCATATTAATAATACTGTTTACTGCATAATGGATGCTGTGATGTGTTTAGTAGGCTATATCCTGGGGATGTCAGCTTTGCATCGTACAGTGAAGCATGTACCTCATACGTCCTGACCTTTCCAGTGTTCCGCTGTTCTCACAAATAGGATTGTGACTGTCTAAAGGTCATGAGCATCTGAATAATGGCATACAGAAAGGGGACCATTATAAACATAACATTTACTGTTTTACTCTTACATAGTATTGTACCACAACTTGCTCAAGAAGCACTTCCTAATAACTGTAATCTTGGTTTTGTTCGAATTTAATTAAAATGAACAAGTTTTCTGGTAAATTTTCTAAAAACAATTGCAGTGCTGTATATTATAAATTGTATAATTCAAAGGTAACATACGTACTTTTTTTCCAGAAAGCATTAGCAAAACTATAATCACCTACGACTGTGTGCAAAGTCAGTTGCATTTCTCTCCTAGACTGGGCTCCACGATAGAAATGTAGAATTTCCACCAATGGTTCAAGGCCACCAACAAAGAAGAACATGCTTGAACAGGGAGACACTGATTTCTCTGACTTTACATTGCTAAACGAAAATACATGTTTTTATCTCAAGATATAGACTAATTAATTAAATAAAAACAATTGTTTTACTGAATTAACAAAACATTTATTTGGACAACTTATCATCTGAATGTTCCATTAAGGATGGGCCTGTCCAGAAACTGCACGAGGTAGCTGCATCCAGCAGACTCGTGGCCCAAGCAGGACACTCCCTCCAGCTCCAGCACGGTCACATTGTTGGGCAGCGATGCGGAGATCACGCTGGCGGGCACATAGAGGGTCATCTGGGGCCCTTGTCTTGGCCAGTATCGACCCAGGTTAAAGCCATTCAGCCACACCTGGCCCTGCCAACCGAAGTGAAATTATTCGTGAATATCGAGAACAGTTTACATCAGTGATTACAAAAAAAGACAACATCTTACCGTGCTCCCATGTGTCTATAATTTACTGAATGTCCTGATGACATCTGTCCTCATGACAACTCATGCACAAATCGCAAGTCATTTCTGTGCATTTACAAATATGATCCCTAAAATATTATACATAAACTTAGAGTATTTTTTTGGTTAACGTATAGCTGATGATTATATGTTTATACTTAAATGTTCTACCTTTGTCCATCCATACATCTTGAGAAAGGTGTCCCAGGGAAAGCTAGGGATATCAGGTGGGATTGAGAAGGAGCCGTGGTAAAACGTTGGAGCAGCCATTCCTGCTTGGTCCAGTCGTTTCATCTTAACAGAAGAGTGGAAACTCGAGGGCAGTAAACCCTCTGCTATCACCGAATCAATGTCCAGAGAGTAGATCATCCAGTCAGTCAAGACTTCACCATCAAGGATCAAACCAGAGAGAAGGCCCTGCAGAGAACACCTCTTGGTTAGGATTAATGCTGAAGTGCATAGTAAAAGGCAACACATTATAAATAGTAAAACCCAGAAAAACTGCACTATTAGGTCCAATAATTACAAACATCCCACGTAAGATTTCAACAGTATCTTGAAAGATTGAGTAATCATTCTGTGGTTTCCAGCATTAGATACATAAAACAACTTTCACCTACTTCTAATCTGATGTCAATGCCAAAAATTGCTTGACCATATGAACTTTCCTGAAGATGTACTGTAAATTGGTCGTCCTTTATAAATTGTTCTGAGAGATATGGGTGCTGATTGATTTAATTTCAGAAGTACACTCATAGATATAATCTAATAAATGTGCTCTCTTTAAAAACATAGAAAAACAAAATGCATGGTTTACCTGTCAAGTGAGTGAACTTGAGCAAAGTATGGGCTGTGGTTAACAAAAAGTTAAAAGCCGCATTTAGTCAACTATCTAATTATACACATCGGTCATCTGTCTACTTATACTCTTAGAACAATTATATTCAAGTAAAGTGCGTACTTTTCTTTCACCAAGGTGTTTTCCAAAACTGATTCTGCCCATGTTCTCCACCAGGACATCCAGCCATTCTCCAACATTGCCCTCTATAGACACAGACCTCCTCCTATCCCGGTCCAGCACCCCCTGCACCACCTGTAAGAGACATCAGCCCAGTCTACAGCTCCACAGCTGGTTTGTTTAAACATACACTTGTATGGTGCACTTTTGAACGCATAATACTGGCTTTGCTTTAGAGCCAAGTTTTAATACAATGTATTTTTTTCTTGCCATAAACACGTTGCCAGCTCAAAAGCGATATCCATAAAACATAATCATAATAGTCACTAAATAGTATGAATTGCATTACAAACCCCATTTATGGAGACATATGCACGGTCATTTAGCCCGTTTGGTGGAGGACGGAGCTGTGCTGGATTAGAATAGTTTTTTGGAAGCTTGGTTCTGTAAAGCATGAATCCATGGTGCTGCATATATTCATTCACAATAAACACACAACCACACTGATGTCAGGAATATCATAAACAGCTGGAAATTAAGCAACTATAATCAGAAAGTGTTTTTTTTCACTGTCCTAGTATAGGACAAATATATTTTAAATGTACATATAAATGTAAACACTGTTCCTTTTGCCTATTTAGAAATGCAACTCAACATAAAGCAGGTATTCCCCAGCCAGTCATTAAAATGCCTACCACATTTGCACGATCTGTACATGTGTAATTTGCAGAAGGCTTTTTTTCGTAATTAAAATACTGTCACTGCCTGTGTGAAATACATGAAAAAGCTGGTATGAGTCAAACAAATATGAATCTATAGGTTAGTGGTCCAGAGCTTAACAGATTTGTCTACCTGTTTCATCTCCTCGAAGCTCAGGGGGTGCTTGCTCTTGACTGGCCCATAAGGGGCTAAAATTTCCAGCAACTCTGTAAGTTTCTTATACTGGGCAGGAAAGAAACATTCACAAGTCTTATAAATGCATACATATCGCAATTTAAAGCATAATCATATACTGTGTCAAAAAATGTGTTCTTCACATGTTGTTGATATTTCTTGAATATCATACTGTTAGCCATGTACATTGTTGTCCATGTATATAAATATAAGTAAATATATTGTTCAATCAGACTATCGTAAATAAAGTACCGGGGTCATGTGCACATATCCATATGCATATTTTGGCGTTGGTGGTGGCATCGGACCCGCCGGTATATCTGCATACTGCACACACAGACAAGTAACAACGCATCTTCATTGCAGTGAAGTTATGAAGTTATGTTACATCTATCAAGTGATTTCAGAGGAGTCACTGACTACAGTGCTATTTAAATTACTTTAAACAGGCGCCATTCATTAAATACATAAAGAATACACAAAAATTGACACAGACATAACTAGAATATGATCAAACACTCGCAAAGAGTTAAGGAGTGAGTAGATGGGAGAATGGTGTTTTTAAAATATTTGCATGCTTTGGCTGGATGTTTTTTTTCTGGCAGCCAGCCTACCATAATTGCAATCTGATACGAGTGTTGCAACCAGTTTGTTGCTCACAAAATCCTTTTCCGTTCTTTGCTAGTTTACAATGTTAATTGAATCTACCTCTGAGTTGTAGCTATTATGTGATTGGTTTCATAACTACATTTGAGTTAATATTGGGTTTTGTGAAATGTGAAGTTGGCTCAGAGCCCACCCATTGTCTACCTTGCGTATAACATCACGTATTTTGTAAAGCTTCTCCGTGGGGTCTCCAGCCTCCGAGAGTGGCGCATCATAATCATAACTCGTCGGGACGGGCAGGAACGATACGTTAAAGTCCCCACCTGCAAGGGAATGACGTTAGGTCCCCGATTGCAACACAACATTTATTCTCTGTGCAATGCACATTTTATCAATATAAAAATTTAATCATGGGACAGGTATGTTTTTTGATAAGTGTATATCAGTATTCTAGTTGATGATTTAATATAACCTCTGGTTGAATCTTTGAAGCTGTCTTGGTTGCTTACCATGTGGTTCAAATTACATTAATTCCTTCCTGTTTAATACTCACCACTCCAATAGCCAAAATTTGTGCCTCCTTCAAACATATACCTGATGGAAGAGAGAGGGTTAGGGCTTTTTCTAATTTATTTCGGCATACAATTCTATTGCGAATAATTGCAATCAACTATGATATTTCACATATCACATATGAAATACATACATTGTATTTTGCATAAAGTTTATCCGTATGTTTCTAGTTGGGTAAAGTAAATGTTTATTCTAAATTCCTAATTCCTGCATGAGCAAATGTTGACATCAGTGAACAACAAGTTTCATTTTATTTAACAAACACCTTGAATTTGTAGCTTTAAAATATATGAATTAGACATTAGAAACTAACCCCAGGAGTAGTGCACGCGATGTGCATGAAGGGTGCAGTGATTCGCAGTGTGTGTGATGCGTCCTCACATGTTAACGCTCGCCCCCAGGGACAACATCTGGTCCAGTGCTGATGCCACCAGGCTGCTGTCTCTGGTGGAATGCGCGTATCCCCAGTAGTCCAGCCAGCCAATGTAAAATTCCGAGTTCACCTTTTTGTTTTGAAAATCATGTACAGATTTGTAAGGGCGTATTACAGTAATTTAATTAATTACGTACATTTGCAACAAATGTAAAACTACGTTAATGTGCTCTACAACAAACAAGTTTCAGCTTTAAGTTTATAAATATAAGCAGGGCTTGGAGGATATTTTTATGCTGGGATTTAAAGTTAAAGTCAAAAGATGTCTTCACTCAAGTGAGCAGAGCGTCGTGCTGATTTCCATCTACAGAGTCAGGAGTGGAACTTCCACACTAATATGATGGGAGCCAGTCGCTCCATAGAATGCTGGGAATAATAATCGTGTACAGTAATATGTCTTTGTAGTGATGTAACTATGGTAATTCGACAGTAATTAAGATGTGTGCTTCCTATCCACCTTGCAGTTGTGGTCCTGAGCACATGTTATAGTTAAGCTAAGCTGTCCGTTGTAAACTCCAGCCTTTATCCATTAACATGTGAATTGGTTGGATTAGCACACCCAAATAAGTTACGTTCTTTCAAATCAAGATAGAAGGTAAGCTGTTACGTCCAAAGCAATCAGGCGTCTGTAAACAATATAGCACAAAGTCCACTTTTATGGATACCCTAAATTTTGTTTTCAATAATCTGGAAAGAAAAAAATACTGCGCCTGCATATTCCTAGATCTATCCAAAACATTTGATCCAGTAGAACATATCATTTTATTAAATACTTCGAACCCTACGATTTTCCGAGCATAGAGTTGACTGGTTGAAAAGCTGACCTTAGGGTCATCATAACTCAAAACTTACTTTCAAGGATCACATTGACCACACTGGGAGAAATGCAAAACAAAACTGGCTTTTTTATAGACACATCAACTGTTTCCCAGCTAAGCTTCATTTAGAGTTGGTTCAGGCTACCATACTGTACTCTTTGGTTCTTTCGGTAAAGACACGTAGGTAGAAAAATAATAAAATAAAATAAATCACGTTTCCATCGCAACACAAGTGGTCGTCCTCAGGCAGAAAAAATCATATGTGGCGACATAAATAACCTCTTGTTGTAACAGCTCTCTCGCTGGTTCAGCAGTTCCACTGCTGGATTATTTTTTTCGCCTGAGGACGACCGCTTGTCTTGCGATCGAAACGTCGTGATATATAATTTTTTGTTTTATTTTATTTTATTATTTTTCTACCTACGTGACTTTACCGAAAGAGCCAAAGAGTATGGATTCCTGCAGTCACGAAAGCTTCAAATCAAGATTCTACCATACTGTGTTTATTTAATTACTGCGACGTTGTTTACCATTCTGCTTCCAGTTCAACGTTAAACAAGCTTAACCCTATATATCATTCTGCTCTAAGATTTGCTCTAGATGCCCCCTATAAGACCCATCATTGCGACCTGTATAAACAGCTCATCTAACATCCATCTATGACAGCAGAACGATTCACCAGGCCGTGTTTATATCTTTAGTAGCAAATCAGCATAATATTTGTTGGATCTGTTGACACCGCGGCAAGGCAGATCAAACCTAAGGAGTTCATTATTCTTTCTGTTGAATGTTCCGAGATCGGTGAACGGGCTTTAACAGCGACTGTCCCTTGTTTTTTTAATAATATTGCCACAAGATTAGATCTACATTCACTACCGTCATTGAGTCACTTTAAATCACTCATTTCCAGTGAATTCCTGCATTGCTGCCACTGTATATATAACTAGACGATGTGTGGACATCGTTTGCTTGTGACCTCTTTGTCTTGTGCCTTGTCAGCACTACTCTTTTTTAATGATGCTGTGTTTTGCTCAGTGAAATGTCATTGTTGATTGATGGCGCATTTATATATTTATTTGTTGGAAACGGTGTGTTTTACCGCTGGCACTTTTTATGCCTAATCGTGCACGTTTTGGATTCCTTCATTGGCTAAAACTTTCAAAATATAAATGTTTACATTTAAAATATAATTTCTTACATTTTTGTTATTCATTTGCATTTTTCATTTATTTTTCTCTTATGTGTTATGTCTGTCACAGCAACGTTGTTTTTTATTGATGAAACCCGACTTCAAAATAAACTGAACTGAACCATGATCACATGGCTATTGTTATGCTTCACAGCTTGAAAGCATTAATTACATAATTTGGTAACACAATCGTAAGGATGTGGCAGTAGTAGCATCGGGTGATATAGTATAATACTCATTTCCAAATGATTAGCGATGACACGATGCCTTCAACTACACCAAGTTCCTCACAAATTACACGAATGCATTTTGTTGCTCATGAAATTGATCATAAACATGGACGCTGACAAGTAAGTTATAAAAAAAAAGGAAAATATGCAACGAGACATGGACATCGGCATAGCTAGGAATTACACTGAGACAAAAGATGGCACGTGGATCAGTTTGATCCGTGTTGAACCGGTCGGAACCGGTTTGAACCAGTTAGATCCGGTTAAAACTTGGCTGATGGATAGGACTGATATGGGATGGCTGCTAATATAGATTATATGCTCATGAGGATGACCACCATTGGCAAAATATAATCTTGTTTAAATAAAAATAAGTTGTTCTTTGAAAATAATTTGGATTTTATTTGAATTAATTACTTTTTACGCATTTTATTTGGACCTTTTAAATATTTCTACTTACCAAAGGACCATTGGGTTCAAACTTCCGTTGCATTTCAAATGCCTGGGTTATGTTGGTTTCTGTTGATACACAAAACACATATAATACTCTCGTGACTTTACCGAAAAAAACAGATATTACTCTCATGGTTTGTGATACATTTCACCACAAATATGTGACAATACCATATTAACTCCTACATTACAGACTCTAGAATGGTATAGATCCAACAAGCAACTATATTGTCTCTGCCAGGTGCAGTAAACATTGCAACCCAATATGGAGACATATATTCGATTATACATGCAATCACATTTCAGACAAGATTCGGTTACAATGATTTTGAAACAGCATTTAATATACACAAATTTTTACAACTAATTTAAAACGTCTGTTGCAGCATCTTGTGATGTGTATCCACAGGGCACATCTGAAGTGTCGGGGCTACCTGCATGCCACATACCGATGCCAAAGTCAATGGTGCTATAGAGGTCTTGGAGGGAGCCACATGACTGCGAGTGTAGCGAGGGTTCGTCCGTGGTGAAGAGCACAACGTCCCTGCCCAGTTTAGAGCGGAACACCTCTGTGAGGTGCCGCATGTACTCCATGTCGCAACCAAATGACCCATACTCATTCTCCACCTGTCACGTCAAACACGAACAGTTCAGACCGTATTCCGATTTTAGACAGCAACGTGTATATTACGACAGGTTGATTGTACCTGAATAGTGATGATTGGTCCTCCATTCTGGTAAAGCCATGACTTTACTTTTGGCAACAGGACACTCATCCAGCTATCCACGGCCTTGAGGTATTCTGTGATAAAACATTTCATTTGAAAAATAGACGTTAGCAGGAGTTCATGAAAAACAATGTTAAATACATATACAGTACTGAGCAGAGATCTTAAAGCACATGTGCAGGCTTTAATAGATCACCTTTGTCAGAGGAGCGTAGAACAATGCCTCGTTTCTGTAGAAGCCAGGCCGGCAGGCCACCCTGAATAAGTGACACATTTGCAAAGAATCAGGAACACAATCCTGCCATTTAATTAAATCACTAACTTCGCATTGGTTTTCATTAAAAAGTATGTTTGCACAGGTTACATTTTTCACGTACACAATAGCTTATTTATTAGTAAACTATTCCCCCCCCCCCCCCTCCATAAGACGGAAATTACGGTTAATATTACACATAACACATATTGAACCTGGATTTAAAATAAATCTAGCAGGAACAACGACCGGTGGGAAAATAGAACCCAAGATTGTGCTGTAGCACATAGACATGCCACACACCATGTCCCACTCAGCGCAGATATATGGCCCTGGTCGCAGGATGAGTAGCAGTCCAGTCTCTTTCACTGTCCGGATGAATGCCTCCAGGTCTTTCTCTCCGGAGAACTCAAACACGCCAGGCTTGGTCTCATGGTAGTTCCACGGCACATACCTGTGTCGTGCTCAGGATGGCAGTGTTGGCACAGACACCGCACTGTGTGTTGACTTGACCATGTTCGTTTGGTCTCTTGTTTTCCGTAACACGGTATACTTTCTCGTTGTTGAGTACAGTACGAGAGCAGATGTGGATTACATTTTTTTGGCAGTGGAGCAGTTTAGATATATATTTTTAACACGAAACATGGACTGCATTAGTCGCGCATGCAACCACATGTAACCACGGTTACATCTGTTGCTCGCATCAAACTTTCTTAATTATAAAAAGGCCTATTTCAGATAAACGTACTGCTTTATCAGTGGAGCACACGTCTAGCTAACATTTCTTAGAGTAAATAGGATGGTGAAGGATTGTCTTCATACTCTGTGACAATGCGTTTAACCCATTTTTTCACCAAAAAAACTAACTCCGTTATGCAATAACGAAAGCGAAACTAACGTTTGGACAGCATTGAGGCCAGTTGTGTACATCTTGAGCAAGCGGTCCTTCCAGTAGACGCGGGGCACCCGGGCATAGTGCAGGCTGCCGGCGATGTAGCGAAAGGGTTCTCCATCCTTGACGAAGCAGCCTCTGCCACGGTCGATCCCAAACGACTGTCGCTGGGCACACGTGGCCTGCTTGGCAGCAGCAGCAGCAGAAAACAATTCACGGCGTTTATCACGAAATCCGTGTCCTGTCGTTCAGTGGAGACGCACTCTGTTGTTGGGAATGATTCCTGTTATCTGTCCTCCGATGTACATTTATCTATATTCACGTTCTGCGTTGATAATACAATCAACACAAACCGCAGACTGCATTATTAACAACGTGAAATGTTTGTTTGTTTGTAAAGTCAGCATTGGCCACGGTACAATATGCGTGGTGTCACCGTGCCCACCACGGCTCTTGGCTCACCCACAGCAACCTGTGACTCGTCACGGGGATTTAAAAGCGCGTTGTCGTCGAGTGAGGTGGGTTCAAGGAATGTCGCGCGTTCGATTTGCGTCACCTACGCCGGTGAAGGCGTGAAGAGGGCATCGTTTCAGACCTACCTTCGGCGAAAGGCAAAGCATTAATAACAGGAGATGGTGAATGGTGCGGCTCTTTCGTTGCGCCGCCGCTGCCATCCTCCTGACTTTTTGTAAAACGCCCTCCCTCTGCACCGTTGTCTTTGGCAGTCGGGAGTTGCGCTTCGTCGTGCCCAGACTTGGACGAGTCCGTCGGTAGGGGGCAGCAAAGGGCGGCCGAGGAGGCTGTGGGGAAGGGCCAAGTTCACCAAAGAAGGCCTTTTTATCCAGGTAGGAGCAACAGGTTCCACACCGCCCACCAATGATTATTTGTCTGTGTGACTGTCTGTCGTGTATAAATAAATATATAATACAAACAGCTCTCTGATTGGTGGAGACCTACTGCCGGGTACGGAGAGGGGAGGTGCCTAAGGGAGGAGGGTCAGCGGAGGGGCCTGAGGGGGGGGTCAGGGGAGGGGCCTGAGGGGGGGGGTCAGGGGAGGGGCCTGAGGGGGGGGGTCAGGGGAGGGGCCTGAGGGGGGGGGGTCAGGGGAGGGGCCTGAGGTGGGGGGTCAGGGGAGGGGCCTGAGGGGGAGGGTCAGGGGAGGGGCCTGAGAGAGGGGGGTCAGGGGAGGGGCCTGAGTGAGGGGGGGGTCAGGGGAGGGGCCTGAGGGGGGGGAGTCAGGGGAGGGGCCTGAGGGGGGGGGGTCAGGGGAGGGGCCTTAGGGGGGGGGTCAGGGGAGGGGCCTGAGTGAGGGGGGGGGGTCAGGGGAGGGGCCTGAGGGGGTGGGGTCAGGGGAGGGGCCTAAGGGGGGGGGGGTCAGGGGAGGGGCCTGAGGGGGGGGGGTCAGGGGAGGGGCCTGAGGGGGGGGGTCAGGGGAGGGGCCTGAGGGGGGGGGAGTCAGGGGAGGGGCCTGAGGGGGGGGGTTAGGGGAGGGGCCTGAGGGGGGGGTCAGGGGAGGGGCCTGAGGGGGGGGGGGGTCAGGGGAGGGGCCTGAGGGGGGGGTCAGGGGAGGGGCCTAAGGGAGAAGGGTCAGGGGAGGGGCCTGAGGGGGGGGGGGTCAGGAGAGGGGCCTGAGGGGGGGGGTCAGGGGAGGGGCCTAAGGATATGAGGGGGGTGGTCAGGGGAGGGGCCAAAGGGAGGGGGGTCAGCGGAGGGGCTTGAGGGAGGGGGGGGGGTCAGGGGAGGGGCCTAAAGGAGGTGGGTAAGGGAAGGGGAGGGGCCTAAGCAAGGGGGAGGGGCCGATAGTGAAGGGGGCTGGCTACCTGGCTGGCTGCCTGGCTACCTCTACCTCAAGTCACGTGACAGGTAGGAACAACATGTTCCACACTGCCCACCAGGGATTATTTGTCTGTCGTGCACGAATGCGCTGTCCAACCAAGTTCCTACCTGCCCACTCCGAAGGAACGTGTTTTTTTACACGCTTTTATTTACACGCTTTTATTTAACTCACTTCGTCTGTTGTATCCTCAAAAAATAAATATTGTAACTCAATTTTTACACACTTCCCAATGTGCTATCGACTGCAAACTTCGTATAGGTATGTAATACTGATGACAACACGATATTCTATCATAAAAAAAATAACAAACATATTTTAAAACTTTTTACACGCTTTTATTTAACTTACTGTATGTGTTGTATCAAACAATCTTGTACCTCAATTTCAACCGTATTCCTAATGTCGTATCGACTGCAAACTTCGTATAGCTATGTCATACTGATGACAATACTATATTCTGTCATGAAAAAAAATTAAACAATCTTTTTTACGGCTCTAATTGTCGACGCTCAACTCACGTTGCCTGTAAATCACCACGGTCGGTCCCTGACGTCACGGCAAGCCTCGGGAGCCACGCCCAGGGGCGGGGCATGTGGAAGGAGGGGGAGGGGCGATGGGGGAAGGGGGGGGGCAGCTCGGGCAGTACATTTCATTAAAGCGTGTTTAAAAAAAAATATTTTTAAATATTTTAGTTTCTTTTTCACAACGCAGCGCGAGCACAGGCAAAGCGATTTCACGCTGTATTATTATGCATGTTAATCGCAGCGGTATACGACGACTCGTCCGTGACACTCGAGCGAGCATATGAAATATTAAAAATATTAAATATGTATTTAAAAAACGCTGCTGCATTGGCCGGGAATCGAACCCGGGCCTCCCGCGTGGCAGGCGAGAATTCTACCACTGAACCACCAATGCATAGACACGGGCAGAGGGGGGGCCTGGACCTAGATGCCTATTGCAGTTGGCGTATTCGTTCACGGCCAGAAGGCATTGGTCACTGACATTTTGGTCATTCGATTGCTCGGCATTAATGCGGCAAGGCGTAAAATGACCCCAGGAACTCAAACCTAAATTGTGTCGCTTAATTGAGGTACTGCTGTGTGTTATCTCGTTGAGGGGCTGGATTTGTGCTGTTGTTGTTTTGCTGCCTTGCCCAATCTTAATCGGACTTATATAATCAACTAATTATGTTAGTTTAACACGTAGGCTTTTGCAACCAATATTATTCATAATCAACGTTTTTGGGTTAGATCGGGTTATTTATAAATGTGTTGTAACCCTCCACCACCCGACACGGCCAATCAGCAAAAAAGTGTCACGTTGACAAAAGACAAATAGTTCACTGATTGTAAATGTTGTGGTTTCACGCTTCAACACCGATGGGCTAAAGCAATTATGTTTACTGATTTGCTTACCATTTCTCTCTTTTGAATTCCTTTTGTGTTTTTTATTGTTTGCTTCTCCGATCAAATGTTTTTTAGTTGTTGAACAATCTAATTCTGACATCGGTGGCAGCAAATATCCGGGCAGTTGAGGGTGAGAGGTTGTGTGTGTTGAGGAGTGGGTGGGGGACCTCTGGGAATTGAGGTCGGATTCCGGGCAGCGTGGGGAATGTGGCAGGGAATTTGCGTTGGGATCCAGCCACTTGGGAGGCGCGGTTGAGACACTTTAATTGTTGTTACCAGACCTGGGGCAAAAATGTTGCCTTTAAATCGGTGTTATCTTCACTGCAATGCCCACGGGCGACTTGGCGGCCCCCTGGTGGCCTTTGGTTGAGCACCAGACGTGCCCCCCCGCCGACAATACACAAATGTCAAAACACCCCCCATCATATGAAAAAATAAGAGGTTTTACTATTTCTGGAAATAAAACAGGTGTTAAGATGTTCAAACACCAAATAGAAGCCTTTTGCAAGGAATCATGTCTGCATTAACCACACGTACCTCTGGTGAACATGCAAACTGATGATATATACATTGTCTTTCAAACTGATTGGCCTACACCAGAGACAGCTTTATTTAGGGCCTAATTTCACCAGTGTCAGACCAGAGAACGCCAAAAGGCGAACAATCCACTATCATGGGTGAGCAGCTACCCCTCCCCCCACCATCGTGCTGTCACAAACCCAATGGTTCAAATGTGTGACGGCCCTCAACACTGATGATGTCTTATCGGCGAAAGTAACCCCACCACCTCTGACAATTAGTGAACACTGCTTTAAATTATATGAAGACAACGTGTCAAGTTAACAATTTTACCCGTGTACATATATATGTACACACAAGCAGCATACAAGGGATAGGTTGCTCCCCAGCCTCATGCTTGACATGTTTAATTTAAATGGCTGAATATATTCAAATCAATGTTGCCATTGCCTCTACCTATCGTACATAACTCGTCGGGACGGGCAGGGATTACAATTGAAATTTTACAACAAATAGTGCTAAATATAAAAGCTGAATATTAAATTAAAAAAACTCTTAAATGACTCAAATGCAACGCGATCTCAAGCGGAGAGAACCAATGTAAATGACCTTACTCTCAATTTAAACGAACAAAAAAATACACAGACTTTCAATATTTAGAGTTAAAATCCTCTCGTGTGGAAACCCTGCAATAACACTTTGCTCTGGGGTGGGGTTTATCCACAGAAGGGTGGTGCTAACAGTGAAAGGAGTAGCCTTGGCCACCACTCACAACGCTGAACTGCACGGCCATGGGACAGCCCGTGGTGAAAAGTGTGAGTGGGAGGCCCTCCCCCGCTCGTTGAGTTGACACTCGGCGTGCAATCTCGATTGGGCACCTGCAAGTCAAGGTGGAGGGCATCCCACCTCCTTGCAAGGTAGGGCAATTGTACGATACGTTGAAAATAATAGGGACATTGGAGGGGGCGAGGAAATAAAATTCAGGAGGGAGGAGGAGGATTCACTCAATGGCTTAATTATCCATCATCACATGGGCAAATTCATTTATTTGCATCCTCACGCTTCGAGGTGAGCAAGAGACACCAGTGGTTAAAGGTGAGAGGGAATTCCGCACCGACAAGTGCCACCCTGTGGATGCAAGGTAATGATGATGAGTGGTGTGTGGTGGGGGGGGGGACAGGTGCAGGTGTGGTCACCCGGCCCTCCGTGCGCCTGCTGCGGCTGCCAAAGTGGTGAGAGAGGTTCCCCGTGGCTCTACGGCTCGAGCCATCCGTCTCCCGAGCGTGAGACGTGAGTGCTTTGTGCGTGGATTGTACAGGTAAACATGTTCACAGAGTCGGTTAGTATAATTGGGCACTTTCATTATGATGACAGCAGATATGGTTTGCAGCGCGTTGTCTTGTGACTTGAAAAGTTAACGTTATTACAATATAGTGTGATATTGTTATATTCTGCTTGTCAAACGGTACCGTACGTTTTGAGATACAGTATTTAAAATAAGTACATTTCAACCTGAAAGGTATATGTATTGATCTTGTTCAAACCAATGTGGTTAGCGTTGAAGTTGTTTCATAATTTTGCATGAAAGGTTTCACAACGGTGTTCTATACCCAACAACATTTGTTGTTTCCAGGGCTCCGTTCTAAAATACACATCCTCTCGACGGGTTTCACTTGGATCGAAGAAATATAGCTAACCCTATTAAGCAATTATATCTACACCTCAGTTCAAGGTTGTGGACTAAATTCTGCCAGGGACAATTAGTGGTGGGTCCATGTGTCGTAAGACAGATGCGCTGTTTGGCCACGCTGCTTCAGCAAAAAGCCATAGGTGGCAGTATTCACATTTGCCTTTCCCCATCCCGTTGTAATGTGTGGACATTACTTTGGGTATTAACGCCGTCTGATGGTACACTATTTTATCTTACTTTTTAGTTTGTTAACATCAAACCTTACAAAACCAAAAGCGTATCTATTACATTTGAAACATATGAGCAAACGGGTGTACTGTACATATATTTGTGTACAAATATGGAGATAATTTAAATTGAAAAGCGGCTTGTTATATGGAATGCGACACCAAAGGCAACAGATGTGTTTGCATTAGTCCTGTTTGCTTGGCATCTCTTAAATCATCGTAGCAACTGGAGAGCAGTGGATCAGATCACGGGACATATACAATTGCTCGGAGTTTGCTACTAATATTTGAATTTGGTGATCATGTTTGGAGAAAAACAGGATAGGTACATTTCAAACATCCTTCGGGCTTTGCTGTGCCAAAATGGCCTACTCGATAATTGAATGTCCAGTAAGCGCATGGGGAAGTATGGCATATTGGGCTTCAGGATTACACATAGCATAACATCGTTTTATAAAATAGAATGAAAATGTCACAGCGTGATATAATTGTGGTGTTTGTGCAGCCACACTCCCTGGAAATGGAAGGAGGGCACTCTTTTAAAAAATATTGTTGAGGCCAGTATTTAAAAAAATGCTGTAATGTTTGAGCCGCAAAGGGTTGGTTTGAATTATATATCAATTCTAACCAATCATAAACATGAACTGTAGTGGTATTGTGCATCTGTGAACCTCGTCACGGCTACGGACAGAACTAAAAGAAAATATTTAAAAATAATATTATATGCGCTGATCAATATCACTTCTGTATTTTAGGGGCGTTTGGAAGCGGGGATCCGGTGACGGTCGTCTTCAGTAGATTGCACTTAATTTCAGAAACATCTCACTTTACATTAGTCCGGTTGAATCCACTGCTGGGTGAAGTCCACTCTAAGCCATCAGTATCTCTCATTCTCCTACAATTTTTGTAATTCAGCTAGCACCTGCACACGAGCTAATTTCATCGCTCCATATGCTCGGTGGACAACCTCTTGGACGTGTTCCTTTCTCTGGCTGCCACTCCATCATTATTGTTAATTCTGGCCATCATCCCTTGTAGAGACGTGTCCTGCCCAAGCCAACCTACTTTTCTTAATGTAATTCCAAGTATGCGTCTCTTCATGCATATCTAAGCACTCTTCAGGTGTATTAGATGTTTTTTTTTATATATCAATTACCATGTTTCTGAACAACGTCAAAAGCAAACTTTAATCTTTAGGCAAGATTGATATGTTACTATTCATTATCAATTTCAGTTTTAAAATTAAAGTGGTTGCAAGATTTACTCAAGCAAGATACCTAACTGCGTTGTATAGCTTCACAAATTTAAATGTTTCAGCTTTTTAGAATGGGTTCTTCCAAACAAAAGCTTTAAAATTTGTACAAAGGACGTAGCATGTAGATTTGTGTTATTCATACAAAAATGAAAGGCTCCATAAAGGCTTTTATAAACGAACATATAGGCTTTGATGTGATGTCACACCTGGAATGCAGTTTTCTTGCACTGCCAGAGATAATGTCAGTTCTAGTGATCACGCTTGCTGAGCTTAACTTTTCTGTTGATTGTACTTGATTCAAAAATTCAGCTGGGCAATTTTTCAGCCTACTGCCTGCCGATAGCATCACAGTAAAGGATCTATAGCCAGAGTGAGTGTATGTGTGCGTGTATGCAGTTGTTATAGTTATAGCAAAGAGCACATGTTCATTGAATTACTATGTGTGCTGTGCTGCACTTTTATCTTTGTAGTGCGCACAATTATGAAGGCGGGTTGTTAAACATTAAGTCATCATGCTATATTGTTCCAATTCATGTACGTAATCTCTGTCCAGAACTATGTATTGGTGAAAATCAATTATTGACCTAAAATAGTTATGCACTGAATTGCTACTTACAGAGACTTTAAAAAGCGCCTTAAATTAGCTTAATGTAACCTTTTTTACAACTTCAGCATAACTCATAACTGTATGAGTACACAAAATAAATGTGTTGTGCATTTTAGCACACATTTTGATTCATTACGAGATTCGTGAATATATATATCAGTAAAATATGTGATGCGTGCAGTGATGAAAACAGAATTCTGGGAAGCTTCAGCATGTGAGTGAGTGCTAGCCAGATGGATGCCTGTGAGAGGAACCAACTATTTTGGGGGGAAATAAACTCTGCTTGTGTGTTACAGATAGACAGTCAACTGGGTCTCATCATTCTAGTTGAGTTAGCGAGTGGTGGTGCTTAAAAGTGACGGTGTTATTTAAGAGGGGATATTGTGAGGTGGTCACTGGCCACATTTTTCTTATTAAAACATCTATAACAGCCCATTTGGCAATTTTGCATATATATTTTGTATTAGTGCAATAAAAACAAACCAATTAAAAATTATGAAAAATTATCCGCCAATATTTCACGAGAGCCAAATAGAGCAGACAATACATTGACCCTGCTTGATGTTGCCATAATTCGCCGTTTTCATTAGACTTCCCCCAGTAAATAATACTTTACAGCTTCACTGAGAACATTGAAGAGTACTGCGAGGTTCCGACTTGCAGTTGCTTATAAGGGATTACATCTTGAATCATTGCTTCACTTGATGCAGCTAATTCGGCTGTGACGGTCCCACCTGATGACGGAGACTTGTGTTGCCTCCGAAACGTCGTGATTTTTTATTTTTTTGTATTTTTTATTTTTTTTATTTTGATGTTTTACTTACGTGACTTAACCGAAAAAACCTAAGAATATGAATCCTTTTATAATGCTTTTGTGATATACAAGGCTAAATTATTTGCACAATCATAAATGATCTATGACGATACATGCACAATGATACATTTTCATAAAATAAATTAAATAACTCCAGAATGTTTGTTGCGCAGTTGACATTTGCTAAACTCTTTTAGTGCGTATTTAATTGCCACTCCCATGTTACAGGATTTATTTCTGTCCCTCTTTTTAAATACCCTCTGCTCACTCGATATCTGCACAGTCAGCTTCCAGCCAGCGATCCCATCCAATGCAAAACTGGGCCAAGTGAATAAAATAAATATATTATTAATTGCTGCTGAAGTAAGATCACTGCAACCTGCAAATGAAATATCCAGCACAGGCTGGTGCCATTTCATAGATGTCAGACCAATAATTATTTAGTGACCATTTCATCGTGGCATGGTGCCAGTCCAGCATTTTTGTTTTAATATGTAAAGTCTTAACAGGACATGTAATTTACTGCAAGTAAGGCTTACTAGTTCTTGGAAATCTGGATAAAAAAAATGTTAGCCCAGGGGTGTGATTGGAGCCTTAAAATTAAGCAGATGTTATTTCCCTCTATTGATGGTGTCACAGCACTTGCTGTTTACATTTGTTGAGTAATTTTTGGGGGGTTATGTTGATGTACGGTTGTGTATACAATTGTTTTGGCTTGAAGGATGCACTTCTCTACACATGTTAATCTTCTCATAACACACACTCGTTTTAAATGTTATTAATTTAGCTTAATACGTATCAATATGCCTTACAAACCATTATAGTGTTCAAGTGTTCATGATCAAAGCAATGCAATGTAAAAAAATGTTATCAACAGCGATGATCTCATCCACTGCTGGATAAAGGCCTTCTGACATTGTCACGTCCATAATGGTATTCGCGATGCAACCATTCATCTCGCTCCTGCACGTCATCTCATCACTCCATCTCCATGGTGACCATTCTCTCAGGTGTGCTGTCTCCTTTGGCTGCCATACAGTCACCATCACCCTCGTGTAGCGACGTGTGCTACCTATAACCCACTGGCTTTTCTTAACAATAATATGATATCTCTAACTTGTGTATGCTCTCTGATTGATGTGTTTCTATATTTTTTTCTTGTTATCATTTAAAGCATACATCTCTCTGTGTTATTTTGTCTACTTTTAAGCTTTTATGTTTTGTTCTATGTCAATGTTTTATAACATGTTTTCAATATATTCATGTGTTTCATGCACTTATTATATCTAACTCGTAATTAAAATGTATCTACTCGTAATACTGCAGTACAAACTACAAACATAGCTATTAAAGCGAATATCTACTGGAGAAAAATCGCAATAAAGTATAGAATGTTGTCATTGCAATATACTTGAAAGAAACTCTAATCACAATCCATTTTTATAGTTCTTTCTACCGTTACATTTTTAACCTACTGAGATTGAAATGTGAGCATATATTTATTTGTTAAACGTTCGTATCAAAGGTAAATTGTGTAAAAATGTATGAATATTTAGAAATTAATCTCAACCTATTGTTTTCAGGGATTGATGGTATGGGCTCACCCTGCTGCCGCATCAGCAGAAATCGACAACAATAATGCTGCAGAAGACGATAGAGACAGCGCGATGTCATTTGAAGCAATCTGAGATGTGGAGCAGAAAAACAAACCTTGTTACAAATACACTGGCTTCTGGAGGTCACGTGAGCAGCACACTGAGTGAGATTACTATGGACAAAGGTTCTGCAGTCGCACACAGTCTCACAAAGGCTGTGCAAACAGCTTGTGCAGAGATAAATTGCCCAGGTGGAAATCGTTCAGGGAAAATGAATGTGCTTTCAATTGTAGAGGAGCGCAGTAGTAATTTTCAGAGTCCAGCAAACGGAGAAGAGAGTGTGACTTTACGGAGCGAAGGTGGTTACATGCGAATGGGTAAGAAGGACATCTACAGGTGTCTGGAATATGATACATGTGAGGACAGCAGTCCATGTTTGATGAGACCCAGAATTGAAGAGAATATTCATTTAACGTCATCAACGAATACACATCCATCATTGTCCAATGGGGATATAACACAAAAGGAAACACATACTCACAACGTGGAAAGCATTCAGCTTCTTCTTCACAATGAAATACATAGCACTGGCACAATGGACGCTGAGCATGTGGTACAACATTTCAGTGGACATTTTAGAAAGACATGGCAAGGTCAAGACAGTCTAATTGTGGATAACTTGAGCCGTAATTTTGAATTGATACCATGTCATGAAGGGATCTCGAATTATTCAGGGTGTGATGTTAACATAACTCAATCCATAGCTGGCATGGTTGAGGAAGACGCTAATTTTAACACTTTCACTGTGAAGGGCATTCCCATACCACTCTTGCCTGTGCATGACATTCCTCTTGCTTTTGAGATCAAGAGCACTGATAGTGTCAAGCTGATCACCGAGAATAGTTTTGTGCCTTAAATAAGCAAACAAGTGAAAAGGCTCAATTGAGAAAAATAAATGACCCCATTGAGGCAATGGATGATCTGTCACAGCTGGAGCAGGTCAATGAGGAAGCCATTCTGCACGTCCTGCACTCTCGCTATAAGCAAGATATTATATATGTGAGTATGATCCACTCAGTGATGCATTTATTGGTCAAAATAACAGCTTATTTTGTTGCATTTATTTAATACCGTTAAATCATGTGAAAAATAGACATGAGCGTCAAATGTTAAAATTCATGCAATTTTTTGCAACATATCACTCATGAGAATTTGTACCTTTATTAACAATAGAGACGGTGATGACAGTTTAATATAAAATAATAATAAAACATATGCTTACACTTGTATTGTTCCCACTGTATCTCACTGAAGTTTCCCTTGTTTAAAACCACAGGTATTGATTGTGCGTTAGACTTGACATGATATAATCAGTCATTACAAAATACCAATTTGTATTCCCTAAACCCTGTAGACGTACATTGGACCTGTACTAGTGGCCGTGAACCCATACAAAAGCATCCCAGGTCTGTACGGTGCCACTCAACTCGGCCACTACCTCCACCACCGGCTTGGAGAGTTGCCCTCCCACATCTATGCCATGGCCAGTGAGCTCTACCGGGGGTTGTGGAGTCGCACCCGTGGCCAGTGTGTGCTCATCAGGTGGGTATCTCGGCTTTGTGTGCCTTGTCCAGCAGATTGTGTGGACACAAGTGGCAATCTGGTTAACAGAGCATTGTCCAGTGTTGGACGTTTTCAAGCTCCGTGTTTATATTATACAGTAATTACTGTGAGTGTAACAATCATGCCCCCCCCCCCCCACGGTTTTCGATGAATTACCATGATTTAGGGTTGTGATTCAATTAAACATATAATATCTCGGTGAATCTAGCCACCTTTAGCATTTGCAGGAGTCATGTTAACCCATTATGTACAACATACCGCAATAAAAACATAGATTCTTACACAATGTAATGCATGTATCATGCGCTTATGAATCGATATTAATCGATGTGTAATTGCACTTCTAGTAATCATTGAATTGTGTTAATTAATAGTTTATTAAATGGTGATGATTGAATATAAAAAAACTAAGCAGTAAAGGTTATTTAGTTTATTTTAATATTTTGTTTTGACTGCCACCACCACATGCTGATGTGTATATCTGTGGGATCTGATGGAAGCATGTATTTGTCCAGGTTTTTAATGATTAGGGTAACAGCTAGTCAGATATGGTCTAGTCAGATATAGTGTGTTATACATTACTTGACAGTGCATCTTAAATTATCCTCATGCTTTGTTTAGAAACACTAACTCGGTGGTATTGCTAGGTACCCTCACTGGACAGGGAGGCACACCTTATTATGCATGTTTTATTATTGACTTTGCCTAAAGGTTACACAAAAAAGTGGCTATAAATAATGTATCGTTTCAGTGCCATTGGGAAAATTATAATCAATATTGGGAATTCGTTGTCAAAAGAGGGCAAGGCACAATGGGTGTCCAATGCGCACAGGTGCAGCAAACAAGTAGGGCCAATGTTTCTGCTATGGCAATTATAGCCATGTGTTGTTGTCGGGGAAGGGCTCTTTAATCATTAATAAGTGTGCTTGCATTTAAAACACCGCACTGCACACGACAACAGACACTACACTTTCTATTCCATTGTGAGACAGGTTTTGAAATGCAACGCCTTCCTCTTTAAATAATTTATATGTATATTACGGTCATTCAAGCACCATGGATGTGTATGGACATGGTAACTTTTTTCAATAGTAAACGTTTATTTCGATTGTTTTTCTTCTTGCTATTATTTTTCATTACAACTCTGCGTCAATGTTTTATGTAAAATGTATCTAGCAAGTAAGCCAACGATTTAAATTGAATTCTTTAATTTTTCAGCGAACGGTTGTGAGCAGTGCACTGAGAAGCTAGGCATTCTTCATACTTGCCAACCTGATCAATCTCAGTGGTATGCTAACCAATGTTTAAACCGTTGTACGACGTACCGATTTTAATATGCATAATTTTGAGAGAGAGAAAAAAACGTTGATGTAAATTTTGCTTTAAAACTTGGTATGCAAGTAAAATAATACATACATAAACATGAGTCACATTGGTTCTCACTTTGACCAAGGTCCCCCAGTCTGGCCACGTAGTGAGGCCAAGCATTGCTATATTTTTCAACACGCAGTAGGTGGTGCAAAAAGAAACGCTTCGTTGCCCAAACATCGGAGCAACTCCCTCGTTGCACATTTTGTCCCTTTAATTCTCAGTACACATGATACACACGTGCTAGGGGAATGTATAGGCAGCTAACAACATTGTTCGCTAGTTTATTCGAGGGGCATTATGTTTAGTATATTGATGAGTGCGAAAATATGCAGTAAAAGTCATAAAAGATTGTACATTTGTCAATGCTTCAGCACGCACTTAGAGTACTGCATATATATGCAGTACAAACTCAATAATACACAGGAAATACAATTGTAAAAATACAATGTTTACTACTATATCCAAGCACACAGCAAATGTTATCTATTAGGCATTTTGATTATAAACCATATAATGGATACACATTATTAAAGGCTCACTAAGCTTCTAGGTTAATGCTTGGATTTTATTACAAAATACTTACCCTATAGCATTTACTTGTGTAGTAAATAAGAATTTTCACACTTTGGGCCAACGTGAGTTTGACTGGCCACTTTGAGCAAAATACAGCTGATGCTGCAAAGGGAACCGATTGTGGTTTGGAAAGCAGTCACGTTCCTCGTTAGCATCGTTTTGGAGATTCTTCTGAACAAATTCCCATTAACCTTCGACCTCCCCCCCTCCATGTCGCTTGCAAACCTCATTAGTCTGCTATCCCTGCCTGTCGCCTCGTGATATGCCTGAAACCCTCTGTGGCACTCTAAGGGGTTTAAAATGCCACCATCAGTGAATGTGAGCCTTTATCTTTGTTCTCATGGCTCCTTGCACTGGTGGAGACATTACAGTCGTCCAGGGCAAACAAATAATATTGGCTTCACCTGCCAAGCTGAGCAAACATACTGGGTGCATTCACGTTAGCCGAAGGGGAACACAAGTAGCCTTGTACAAGCAAAGCTTTTGAGCCAATCTGCAGCCTGTTTTGTGTTTCTTGCATTGTGCTTACAATGTGTAATTTATTCAAGTATTTATAGTAATGTGTGTCTACATTTTAAACTTAGAAACTTGAAATGTTCACTGATGTAGAAAACACCGTTCATGCAAGTTTAATTAATCCTATTTTCTGCAGATTCTGATGTGAATCTTCTTATAATTGTTTGTAGTAATGCGCAGTGGTTTAACACATGTTTGAGGCTTAATGCTAGAACGAAAAACCGCAGTGGTGATGAATATAATGATGCTTTCAGCAGTACAGTAAATTAATCTTCCCGACTCTGCTCCTAATACTCCCAGCAATAACTGTATGCCATTCTGTGGGAAGTGCAAAAAAGTAAAATTCGCGCTAAATACTTCCTAAATGTTAGTCTACGCGGACAAATGAGAGCACCGCTAATTAATGGCAGCCATGCCAGTGACTGCCTTGCTGTGATTTTCTCCGTGGCCTCCCTGCAGTGGAGAGAGCGGCGCCGGAAAGACCGAGAGTGCAAAGCTCCTCCTGGGCTGCCTCACAGCCGCCACCCGATGCTGTGCTGCGTTGGGCCGAGGAGAAGGAGGTTGCGGGCCAGGGCTGCCAGCTGCCAGAGGTCAGAGGGTCACTGCAGTCCAGCAGGCCCTCGTAGAGTGCGGGTATGGAGATGCCTTGGCTTACGCCACCACATGCAGCAATACCGATAACTGCTTAAACCTTATGCGCACCTCAGATAAATATAACAATGCAGTGTATACAGTGTATGTACATTTACACGGTGTGCGTGTATATATGGTAGATGTAACATGCACATTAAAATGTCAATCAGTGAAATGGGTTTGATTACGGGCCATGCACAGCACCATTCGTGACTGGAACCTAACCCAGGCCTTCTGTAGGTGGACTTATTCTAAAATAAGTACCTTATTTGGTGTGCGCAAAATTAGCATTTGGGAGACAAACATATCCAAGTTCAGTGGTGCTCACACTACCTCATCATGTGTCATTTTGACTGAAGAAAGAAACCATGCCCTTACAGTTTTTTTCAGTCTAAATCTGGCATCTTTGGTGTATAATATTCTAATGCTGTCACCTGTAATTGTGTTGGGAAGTTAAAGGCTTCACGTTAATAGAACACTTTGGGAAGTGTGTTGCCGGTGATGCTCCCTGCCTTTGTCTGTGACTGTGCAGGCTGGTATTGGAGGCCTTTGGGAATGCACGCACAGCTCACAACGACAACTCGAGCCGCGTGGGGAAGCTTGTCCAGCTGCACTTCTCACGTGCGGGTTTCATACAGGGTGGCGTCGTGCTCGACTGTATCCTCCTCCGTCACTACAAGAGACTTAGATTAGCATAGCCAGGCCCTGAGATTGACAAGACCGTAGCTTGGGCTCAGTCGAGATGAGGGCTTAATTTCTCATTGAATATATTCCAGGTCACTGGTAAAATTAAGTAGGCACATGACTAGTAACCACGGTCATAGCGAGCGGTATACAAGATGTTGTGTGCCGTGTGCGGATATATTTCCGGGTTGTCGACCCTGACGCACTGAGCTGAAAGTAAGCGCTGATGACTGTGCAGCAGTGTGAGTAGACATCTTTAACTGGGAGCTGTCACAGGAAAAATTGGTAGGTATGGTTGCCAGACCACCAAGTGTAAATATTGACCTCTGGTGGCCAAATGTTTTTTTTAATTATTGTTTACTCTGTAAAGTAACAACTTAAAGGTACCGCTTATTGCATAATTTTACATATTTTTATCCAAAAAAACGTTGTAGCATTTCAACTTTTATTGTTAAAACCAGAATGTTTTAGGCATGGATGTATACAGTGACGTGATTAAATGCTGACTTAATTTCTTAATGGCTGAGTTTGACATTTTCATAGTATTTACCCATATCCCGCAAAAGCAGGAAATATTTTTAAGATGGTTGAGTAGTAATACTGCATTGCATGGCTCTGTAAGGCATTGATGTGGTTTACTTTGAGTATTTCTTAACCATATACATTTGCCACTGCTCAGATCTACTAGAAAAGGTAAGTGAACATTCTTTTGTGTATAAATAAAGTATTTGCATGCTAAATGTTTGGTATGTCATTGACTCTATTTAGGTTTAGTCTATTGGATATAAGACATTTCATGATATGTTTTATTTAGAAAATTCAACCATAATGGAGGTTTTTTGGGTTAGATCGTGGAAATATATAAATGTGTCGTTAAAACCCACCACCACCCGACACAGTCAACTAGTAAGGGTTGTCACGTAAACAGGAACATGCCAATTCGTTACTGGTACAGCACACCGGTATGTTGGAGAGCCAAGCCACAACATTTACAATCTACGACGTTTCGCCAGTAATTACAACTAGCTTCATCAGGTGACAGCCATACTTGTGGAGAAGTCTAACTGTTTCTATATAAGGAATGAAACAGAAGTCTAACTGTTTCGTTCCTTACATAGAGGTGTATAGAGTCGTAGAAAATTAAACTTGCTAGCATTATAAGTCAAGTCAATTTATTTTTGGTTATAAGTAGTTTTTCTCGTGATTTCAGAAATATCATTCACATATATTTTAAATTTAAATACTTTACAGATGTAAGTTTACAATGGTCCTGGGTGTTGATAATCAGTGTGTATACTTTACACAGTGCTTGTGGCAGTTATTGAATTTTGAGAGCCTCTTGATACCTGGTCTCTCACTCTTGTTATTCCTAGACTCGTGTGGTCCAGCAGAACCCAGGAGACAGGAACTTTCACATATTTTATGCTCTTCTGGCTGGAGCCTCAAGCCAACAGATGGGTGAGTGGGTGGTTACTTCACTTCCCTGACAGGAGACAATTTGTCCCTTTAAAAGTTAATGGGAAGTGTGCACAGACTGCTTACAGACAGAGCTTTAGTGAACTAGAATACATCGGCTGTGTATAATGACGTTAGCTGAGAGCACAGCCATTGGTGATGATGTTGTGAATTACAGGAAATATTTCGTTTCCTTATTTAGGTAAAGGTTGGATAATGGTTTACAAGTAGTTTTTGTTTGGTAAAAAAATCAGTCACGATGTGTGTGGATAACCTGCCTCTGCCAGTGCATTTTAGCGATGATTCATCTTCTGTGCTGTTGTTTTTGTGGGGAATTACTTAAATTAGCTTGGGACCTGGTAGATGCAAGTTCGTTGTTAGAATTCTGGTGTACAACTGCATGGTTATTCATCAGCAAAGAGCAAATATATTTTAGACCGCACAAATGATACATGGATTGGGGGATAAGTACATTAATTTTGACATACAAGCTCCTACAAAATTCAACTGTATCAAAGCATGATTTGTTGTCACCCAACACGTGTGAAACATTGCTTTCAAGTCAACCACGTTTTTTTCGCCCCACTCTTATTTACATTCACTCTGATGGTACCACTATTCCAGTTTTGGAGTTATAACTCTGCTCACAAAGTGCATGCACCATTTTTCACACATGTTCAGTCCGTAACTGATAGTTCATACAACCTGTTTTCAGAGCGGCTCTACTTTTCGGATGTTGGTTGCCATCGCTATCTCAACCAGCAGGACTGCATTCTTTCCGATAAGGACACGTTCAACAGAGTATCGGTATGAACGTTAATTCCATTGATTTTGAGGTGAAATGTTGAGGCTGTGTATGTTTGCTTTTTTTCTCCTAAGCTTTTGCTGAAAACACAATGTCTGAACATGCGATTGCCTGTGTCATTAAATCCGTGCATCATACACACAAGGTGGAGTTGCATCCCATGTTACAAGGTGTGCATCAAGTAACCAATATGACGCAGCATCTTCATTCTTGGTGTTACATACTTTAAAATTGCTACACCTTATATTTATGAACCGTGTTGCATTCTTCCATGCTGCAGTGTCCATATCGAACATTCTATTGTCTCTCCGCTGTGCTGCCGTGACTGTTGTGTGACGGTTGCATGGCGCACATGTATGCGTGCGTCACTGCGAGCAGTCGTCCCTGCATGCGCTCGGCCTCCAAGAGGGCCAGGTGGACGAGCTGTGGAAGCTCATGGCCGGGATCATACACCTGGGGAACATGACCTTCACCAACGTGGGGGGCGCGCAACTCGACCTCCGCAACCCGGGTGGGTCCTTGGGGGCATATCCCTACATTGGGGGGGGAGGTTGTACGGGTCTTCGCCTACTCGAGCCAACTTTGCCCGACCCAACGTTACCCGCACAATCTGCATTGCAACTTGGGTCATTGCCTGACAAAATAGGCGTGCGATTTGAGGTATATTTCGTGGAAACTGAGCACGTGTGCGAGGAGTTGAACTTGATTTAGGTTCTGCAGGTTTTTTGCCACACACGACAAAAGAATTGTAAGTAATTTATGTTACAAAAATGTTTAGCATGTGCAACGGGTACCAGGATCTGCTGTTCGTTCAGCCTTTTTTGGTGAACTTGGACCTGAACCTTTCTCACTCTTCAGAAAAGTATTTTAAGACATTTTCAATTAACAAATATCACTTGACTGTTATGAGTAAAGCCGCCATACTACATGTAAAACATGTTTTAGTTATGTACCGAAATATTTTCTTTGGTTATGTTATATTAACTATAGCTGAGCATCTAACACGATATCTTATTTTAGAGGTTATTTCCATATGCCTTAATAAATAGCTTCTTCTGCCCTGACATAAAATTGCCTTCAACAGCCTAAAGTCACCTTAAAATGCGTGACTTTTTTACTCTTGCAATCTAGTTTCTTTTAGCGCAAAAACTGTCTTAACCCCTTATTTTTTCAATCTCATTTCCATACAAATAAATAACAGCAAGTTGCCTCGTGTGAAATCTAGAACAAAACATATCACTGACGCTGTCAGTGATATGTTTTGTTCTAGATTTGAAGCTTTCGTGACTGCAAGGATTCATACTCTTAGGTTTTTTCGGTAGAGTCACGTAGGTAAACTAAATAAATAATGGTGTTTTTTTCTGTTATTTTACCTGCGTGTCTCTACCGTAGGTAAAATAAAAAAATATTTACCTACGTGACTCTACTGAAAAACCTAAGAGATATTTTTCTATCAGCAGTTTGAATAAACAGATTTATAGTTCACCATTGAAGCATAAGTCTGGCTCAGAAGAGACAGGGAGGTTCTGTTATGCTAAATTGTAAGTCTCACCCATGACATATTTTTCAGCTAAAAATAATGAAAATAGACCTTTTGAATTTCAATCTCCCATTACAAAGTGGAGTATTGTTACTAAACTGATGCTAATCCGAGAGTAAAGTGAGGACTATAATAATTTTAATATGACTTGTACATTGATAGGCACTGAATGTAGAGTATTGATGGCAGATTTGGATCATGGGAACATTCAAATGACCTATTTCTCATGCCCACTTAACCACACCACAGTTCTACTGTAAACATGCTCCTGGTCCTTAAAGGTCTCTTTTCGACTTTATTTTGCTGATTCACGGCCCTGTGGGTCCATTGTGTGCGTGTCTTGGACTGGTGTGCCGCTTGGACTGGTGCCAGCTAGGCCTTTGCGGAGGCATTCGGGAGCCCGCCCCTGGGATTACCTTGCATACGCCTGGTCCCATGCCAGCTCTCCAGCCTAGACAGTCTTTCCCCGACAATCGAAAAGACATTTGTGTGGCCGGGACAAAGTCTGAATCTTTTTCCTACTCTGCCGTTATGTGTGCTTCCTTGAGGGGGTGCACTTCTTATAGTTTGCTACCCAAACACTTAGAAATTCAAAGTCCGTGAAGGTCACCCCGACTCATCGTTCCTTTGTATTTATAAATACTTGCCTCTGCAAAGGAAATTAGAAATTTTCACGACTTTAGGCCATCATCAGAGATGAATGTCGTGTAAACTCGTTCAAGAAGAAGAAACAATTCTAATTTGACATTTAATCTCCTGTTATGCCAAAATTTCCAGCGAGATTGGATTCGTTAAAATAGTCACCACCGCAGTCAGCAGACATAGTTGTTTCGCCGAGTATTTATCTTAAACTGATGCCATCCTGCATCATATAAAGTGTGAATTGTAGTACACGTGGCCACCCCCAGTACATTTTCGAGCTCTCTCCCTCCCCCCACCCCCGAATTCGCAGAGCTGGGACGCGTGGCGGAGCTTCTTCATGTGGAACCCACGTTGGTGGTAGAGGTCCTTACACGTCGCTCCATCATCCTACGTGGAGAGGACATTCGCACGCGACTCTCAGTGCAACAGGTGAACTATGTTGGCGTCTCGGCGAGCGGCTCAGTGCCTGGGCAGGAAGCCCATTCGTCCTGAATGCCACGCTCTTTATTAACGTTCTCTTTGAAATCCATTAGCTGATAGGAAAGTCTTAACCTTTTCCATAAATTGAAATATATTCCGTAGCTTCACAATTCAAATTAATGTTACTTTAAATGATATTTATCATCTACAGAGTGTACGTTATATTATGGTGATCTTACAGTATGTTAATTTCGGATGTACCATTATCAACTACGTGTGCAGCGGGTATGCAACGATGTTCCTCTTACAGGACAGTCCTGTAAACCAGCTGTTGGATGCCGTTTAATCCTAAATAAAAATGATTTCATAAATAAATACGATTGCTTTGGTCTCTGAAAGAAGTTATAAACACTGGCCTAAATTTGGCATTGGTACTATTAGCCCACTTGATTTTCATTGTCCTAAAAATCCTTGTTAACATTGGTGAGTGTGCGACATATATTTTATCTATGGACAATTTAGTAGTAACTCACTTGATCATGTGTGTCAAACATTCATCTCACCTCATGCATCTTGCATGATCCTGGCATATTGAGATTAGCAAGAACTACATTTGTTTGCCAGCATTTTCCTCCCACAAATTGATTCATGAGAGTGCGTGGCAGGTATAACGGCAATTCACAGTGCTGTCATAACTTAAAATGAATTTTTGACATCACAAAGTTTGGCTTTAGACATTCTTCTTTCACCTCCTACCTATGTTCGTACTTCTTACAACTCCCACTCTCCCTTGCGCTAAAAATCACCTCTGCTTAACCTCGGTATGGAACCAGAAATAACCAGCACAAGCCAGGAATCTTAAGCAGCATTAATTTACAACATTACACAGCACAAAATGCAGCCACTAAAATTATAGGTTAATATAAATGTATAACTTCTGTAGAGTTGAACATTAGCAACTGTACAACATCGCATGGTTCATGAGTCCTTGGTGTTTGCAAATAAAAAGCCATTAAAGTTTTCTATTGCAAAATATTTTTGGATTATACCAATCAGTCCTTCCTTGGTGAATAGGAGGAAATTGCTTTCCATTTGTGGTGAATGTGCGTGTTAAACTTTAAACGAATCAAAACATGCATATGGCTTTGATGTGTGTTTACATAAGAACTGTGTGTAATACAATCCTCACCATCCTTTTAGTCATTTTCCTTCTCAAAGTCATTCTCATTGCCATGTTGGTTATACATAGCGTCCATCTTATCTCCCTCCTCAAAATTCCACGTGTAATTTGTGCATTAACTCGGAAAGAACAAAAAGTGAAGGGACAGAAGATAAATGGTGACACTCATGAGATAAATTATATAAAAACATAAACATGTCTTTTACAAAAGTGAGCACAGTAATTAATGGTCACAATGGAAAAAAAATTGCAGTGGAAATTCATGAGAAGTGTATGTGCTGGGTGCTTAAATAAAATGACGATACATAGGAGGAATATAATACATTAATAAAACTAAATTAGCGATGATTTCCTGTACTGTAGTAAAAAGTGGTCGGTCACATGAACACCCAGGAGAGGGGAGGAGGTGAAGTGAGGTGGCGGTGTAAGCTGGCACTGTGCAGATGTCGCACCAAGTGATAGGGTGCAAGGAGAGTCCAGGATGTGGGATGAGGTGTACGTGCGTAGGGGGTGGAGAGCCGAGATAACCAGAGGAGGTGACAGGTTAAATCACCGGTCACGCTGCTGCCCATGGCACGACAATCGTTAGTGCTCCCATTACATAGACCCCTTGGGAAAATGTTCTGTTTCTTCAGGTTTAACAAGTGGCAGTATCCAGCATCCCTTTTCCAGTCCCGTGTCTGTAATAGGCATGTGGTTACAGTAATTATCGCTCAAACGTTCACAGGTTGTAAGCTAACAAGTGATGCCTCAGAATTTCACCTGCTGTGCAATTCTATAGAGTTCACCGACTTGCCATACTCCTCTAATATGTGTATATTTGATCATATAATGTAAATGTATTTTTTGTAATCATAATGTATATTTTTTATCTTGATGAATGCTTTTGTTTTTTCATGAACGGTTGCTGTTCTCTGCAGGAATGTAATGAAATTAAGAATATCATGGCCTTGCACATTAACCTCTCAATCTTGACATTTCGGTTATGATTCATAAAGGGATCTGTCACAAGGAACCTAGAAGCGTCACTGGGTTATTCACATGAGCACAGATGCTTCATCTCAAGTAGGCCCATACTGTATATGGTACGGAGGAGTACAGCCTATGGCCGTACTGAGATTTTACTCCAGGACAAAACTTCAGAGTCAATTTAAATAAATGCAATTTCATTCATTTTATTCAACAGAACTGTAGGGATTACTTTGTCAGTTAGAACATATTGATACCACCCCCACCCCAATTCTCATTAACACTAGGAAAAATATATTGCAGGTGAATGTTTCGGATAATTGACTTTGCCAAAACACTATCTAACTAAATATATTAATGGGGCAACAACCATCGCAGAGAATTAACTAAATGTGCATGTTTTCTTTTATAGGGCAGTATTTGTAAAGGTGGGAGTCTGGGTGTTTTTTTTTATTCATGGCCATCTGCATAACTTTTTGTTGGATAAATAAATATTTCACAAAAATAGGTGTACAATATATCTAAGCTTGGTTTTGTACGCACCTCCAATTCGCACGATTGGCTACGTATGGTGCAAAAAAATTATACATACACACAAGGTGAATACAGTGCTCTTAAACGTATGCCTTTACTGATTTATGGTGAATCTGCTATCCAGCCTCTGCTTGAAATCGCTGTGCTTTAGTTGACACTCATTTTTGGGCGTAGATTCGACACATTCTCCCTCCCAGCCATAGGACAGTTGCACTTAAACGTCACTAGTAGTTACTAGTAGTGTGACCACTGCATTGGTCACAATTGAACACTGCACGCAGGATCCCCTATCGATTCGGTACATTAGTTCACATGATCAGCTTAAGATTGATACAATTGGAATTAATTGAAATAAAAAATTTGATTGTAAGAAAATAGTTGCAATGGATTACATTGGATTAATTTATGTTTAAGGAAAATAAGCAGACAATACCTCTCCTTCCAATAGCTGTATCTCCATGTTAAATAATTAACGTACTTTATACACATCTTATCAGTCAATAGGCCTTCTGGGAGTGGCTGAACCACAAGCAAATTCTGCACCAGTTTTAATATTATCTCCTGAGCAGAATCAGGTTTACTTGAACCAATGCTAGGCAAGGGCGATCTTTGTTAGGTATGCATTCTAGTTCTATGCCAAACAACAATACATTACACGAAATAATATTATTTTATATAGTTTTACAGAACTTCACAGCGGTCAATCCCCAGTTTCCTCGACAGACCACATTGTGAAAGACATGGGCACAACCTACATAAGACAACTTCAGGCCTTCATGTGGATTGTAGTGCTTGCGAAGAAGACCCTGCCCGGCAGTACTGAGCCCATTCTTGACTCTATGGCACTCGCGTTATGTCGCGTGTGTCTCTTGCAGGCCGAGGAGTACCGGGACTCGCTGGCCATGGCCTTGTACTCACGCTGCTTCTCATGGCTCCTGGGCCACGTAAACAATCAAATCCATGGCCCGCGTGACTTCCATTCCATTGGCATCCTCGATATCTTCGGGTTCGAGAACCTTAAGGCAAGAATTATTTGGCCAGGTTGACATCGGGGATGGAAGACCTGGCAGATGCACTCACATAGAAAGGGCTTTTGCGAATACCCAAATCACATTTGTAGTGACTGTGCTTGTCACTATATGGTGCCGGGGCTTGCGAAGCCACGGCCGGTAATGTATTGTCATTACGGGCAGCCTGGGTTACGGGATGTAGTTCCAGCCCTAGCTGGGCTTGGGTGAGCGCTGGTTAGCGCGGAGGCACCGCGAGCAGTGTGCGGTTCGGGCTCCCGGTGAGGGAGCGAGAGGGAGCGTCAGCCAGCCAGGGTTACCTTGGGGCATGATACGCTGGTTGACTTGCTGACACGTGACTGGACGATATTGGAGGGTGGCCACCGGTGGACGGGGCCGTGGGGCAGTCACGTGGTCCAAAGGAGCTCTCGGGAACCTTCGAGAAGGAGCTCGAGAGACCTGGAAGGTGGGCGGGGCGAAGGGCGGAGCCAGCCCCAGCCCGGGGGCATTTAACAAGGACCCCGTTTGTGGTCCGGACCGGGATAGCGAACCGTGTCTAGTTCTGCCGTAGCGTGGTTAGATGGGCATTCGAGACCCGTGTGTTGATCGTGTTGTGTTACGTGTTAATGCGGAATAAATAGTGTTGCTCCCAAGATAACGTCTGCGACTCAGTTGGACACACTACACATTTATATTCGTACAAACTTCCAATAAGGCAAATATTGTACAATACAATTCTGGTTTATCTAGAATATAAATGTAAATCTAGATAGTTTCATGTTTGCATGTATTTAATGTGTTATTATATGTAAAACAGCTATATCCAGAGTACATATGACATAAACCCGTTTTAAAAGATACAAATGTACATATTTAAATGGCATAGTTCTTTATGTTATATAAGCAGCACATATAATTAATTGTCATGAACAGCAGTGAGGATTATTTGTGACATTAATTGCTGTTGCAGGTCAACCGCTTTGAACAGTTTAACATAAATTATGCAAACGAGAAACTGCAAGGATACTTCAACAAGCATATGTTTTCTGTGGAGGAGCAAGAGTACAAAAGGTGATGACTCATCCACATGAGGCTGCGTTCCCATTCACAATATCACGAACACATTATAGGATTCAATGCAATGGATCAAGCCAAACCGTTGCATCACCACTGTTTATGCTTTGCATTAGGGTATTAAAAACACTAATAATAGATGCCGTGTACCATTACATTTCTTTCAACTGTACTCTTCCGATGAAGTCATCTGCTTATTTTCGGGGGGTTGAGTGTTAGGGACTGCACTGCACTCCATTACATCACCAGCATGGCTGTCTGGTCAATGCTTGCGCAAGGACATAAAAGCCCCCTCGGTGCTGAATGATGCATCAAATGCGCTGAAGCTATATTCACATCCACCTCCTCCTCCCCCCTTTTTTCTATTTTTCTTTCTCCTCTCGCTCGACCCAACCACAAACGTGTGTATATGCACGTACGCACCCGCTGCAGACCTGTGGGAAAGCACTCACAAGGCCACACCTAGTCTTAGTCTTGGCTGAGGGATGTGCAGCGGGTTATCCCATTTCTTCCCCCTTGCACAACAGCTTGCAACACTGTGGAAATCATCCTAAGTTTGCACAATTTGTTGTATTTTCATCTGCGCTGCTTCTAATAGCATTTTCCACGCAAAGCTTATGGTGTGCACAGGTCGTGCCCTATTCTTCGCGAGATGAAATTATTACTTCTGTGCATGTTATTATTTTCTGAGTTGTGGTATTGAATGCGCAACAGTGTTTACCTGACAATATAACTGCGGCAATAATACACGTGATTTATGTTGTGTGTATTTGAAAAAAACAAATCAAAGACACCTTACATTCATCAGACATATTTCACACCATGTTCAACCCCTAATCATTCAAATTCACCAAGGTGATATATGTACTTGTATCACTGACACACTCACTCCTTTAAACCCCTGTTCGGTTTAAAAAATGTATGTACTTAAAATAAACAATTACATTTTATTATCTGACTGGAGGTAGATTTGGGATTTAAAATGCGTGACCAAACGTGTAATGGAAAAATGGTTTTATAATGTTGGAGCAAAAATAGCTGTAGTTTTGTATATGTGCTGGAAGGAAAATTAATAATTCAGCTGAAAAGTACATAATGCACGTGTGAAGCATCTGTTGTGCAGATGATGGTTGGCTTGAGAGAAGGCAAGCCATCATTGCTGCAATAACAAAACTGAATCCTCGTCGATTGCAACGAGTCACATGAATTGGGGAACTTAAGTCTGATGTATATTGTGGTCACTAGCAAACATTGAATCAGAGACAGCACTGAAGTCCCAAATGTAATATAGCGCACAGTGATATTTCCTATATCTTTTGTTATTGGTCTTCCTCGTGGTTAGGTTCAGTGTGTGCATTGTTCATGAGTGCATTCAGCTTCTGGGCATAACCAGGATTTTTTTAAAGGTAGGGGTCGCTTGATGTTAGTTAAATGTCACCAGATTTCCATATGTTTTTTTTAAGGAGAAACCGGCCTGCCATATGCTCCCTAGATGAGCTCACCAATTTTTTGCTTTCGTGCAAGCGAAATGCCGGGTAATATTCTGACCACCTTGATTTTTATGGAAGAATGCATGTAAAAGTATATGTCCATGTATAAAAGACCATGGCTTTTATCACTTTATTATATGTGCCCAATTGGTAGCCATCTGTAACACAATTAGGTCATGTTGCATCTGAAAAACATATTTGCTTAATGTGTTGTTTTGTATGTCTTCATTAAACAATAGGGAAGGTATTGAGTGGAAAGAAATACCATGGATGGATAACAAGGATTGTCTCGATTTGATTGAAGAGGTTTGTATTGAATTATAATCTAACCTTTGTGTATTGAAAACAAGTTTATTTATTTTTTATTAATTACAGCCCTCTTTCAATCCACTGCTGGAATCAGACTTCCCCATTGTTTCACCAAACTTCACATGGTTGGTCAATGCCTGTTGATGAAGGGGATACTTAGGACTAGTTCAAACACCACTCACCATTGATATTGGCTATGGCTGGGAGTTGAACTCAGATGTTTGAGTTAATGACCACAATTCACTAATTACTGTGCGACCGCTTCTCCCAAAAACAATGTCTTTACTGATTTCGAAACATAAAACAACATCCAAGCAAGAACAACTTTTTTTTAATTCGTGCTCTCCTCCACTGTCACTATACACATAAAATTATTTTAGCGTGTTTTGTATGATATTTTAAAAGCCTTGGACCCATGTTATAGCCTGACTACGTGCTGTCCTGCTTTCTTTTGTAAGTGAAAGTGAAGAGGATGTGTGTGCACGTACATATTTTCTCATATTCACATATAGAGTTGTATGCGTATTTCCTCAAAGGTGTGCACGCATTTCTATACGTTGTCACATCCGCGTGATTTCTCATGCACACATCTACATCGAGTGTATTTACACATCTGCATTTATTGCATGTATGTGGACAGAAGTTGGGAGTTTTGGCCCTCATTAATGAAGAAAGCTTGTTCCCTCGCGGGACTAATAACACTCTTCTGAACAAACTCCACCACCACCACTCAGTGAGTCTGCCGCACAGCAGTGCATGGTGTTAAGGCTTTGTGATATACCCCCACCCATGACCATTTTCTCTCATAAATCTCTCCGCACTCATCGTACCTGTCATGAACTATCCCAATGTAAATCTATACGCACACCACATTCGAATGCCCTATTTTTATTGCATTCGTGTTATAAAAAAAAACCCCAGCTGTTGCAATTATTTGCCATTTTCAGTTTTATTTAAATGGCAGCATTCATAGACGAACCTTTAAAAAAAAAGTACAACACTTTTATAAGGATTTAAGTTATCGGTTAAGTACTTTTATCTATTAAAACCGTTGTTATCCTGGTCTATTTTTGAAACAAAACATTAAATGAAAGATTACTAGAACATTGCGTAGTGCGCTGTCGTAAGGTTCTGTTTCTTGCCGAGCTGCGCGCGAAGCACTCCGCGACACACAAGCACGGCATCTCAGTGCCTCTTCGCTGTTCTTGCCCTGTCCTTTGGTGCAGATGAACTCGTGCTACATCAAGCCTCGTATGGAGAGCCGGAGCTTCGGTATCCGACACTACGCAGGAGAGGTGCCTCCTCTACACTATTGACAAAGTAGCAGGGCTCTTATTAACGGGGGATCAAGATGGCTATTGGTGATAGTTGACAGTGACACATGATATCGACTGTCGTTGCCCAGGTGCTATATGACTGTGCAGGGCTTTGTGGAGAAGAACCGAGATGATTGTCACGAGGGCGTCCTGAACCTTCTTCTTCAGAGCCGGTGAGGCCTAGGCCATGCAGTACACCTTAGACATGCGAGCAAAATGCTGAGGCGACTTACCTCTCAGACAAATACACTATACAGAGCTATACCATGCATAACTAATGAAGACACCATTATGTCTGCACAAGGAGAACCGCAGTATTCACCAAATAAAGCACCACCTCCTACTCCATGATTGGGGCTCAATTTCTGCCGTGATCTGATTGCAACTGCCGACGGTACTTTGGGGTTGCCGCGGTGGGCAAGTCCAGAAATTCCAATGTTCGACCACGGACCGTGGGCATTGCTCGGCACCAGGAGGGATTGCGAATGAATGGTGCTGCATTAACACAACATCAGCACTGTCAGTACAAGAGAACATTTAATTTAATAGATGCTTAGTCATTCCCTAACTTTCTATTGCAATGTATGCAATGTGGTTATTTGTGTTAGGAAAGTAGGATAGATGCATGATGTGAGGGCTTGGTCTACTTGTGCCTGACAGATGAAGTAGCACAGGAGTAGGTTCTCCACATACCATGTATTAGTGCATCATGCTGCTTTAAAAAATAATTGACTTGCATCACCAATTCATCAGGATGCATCATTTTGCATCACAAAATACGGTACTCTCTATTGCTGATTTTCACGAAAAAATAGTTTTTGTGGGTTTTTTAAGTCCCCAGAGATGAATAATGAATTTTTGTCCCAATACCAAGTGTCCATAAATGCCACAAAACAATCCACAATAGTGTGCTACTGCAGGATTGTGTTGCACGTGTGCATGGCTGCATCTGAAACAGTGGAGAGAGCCATAACCAGATATCGCAAAGCCCACCAAACCTTCCCTCTGCAGCCACAAACAGCCACCACAGATTCCTGCAGCAGTAATATTAGTTGGCAATTTCCTCCTCGTTACAAAAACCACACAATGTCATGCAGGCCAAGTCGCCGTCTTGGGACGACCACGTAGGCAGCCCATTTCATTCCCGGATCTGCCCCCAGTATCGATGTTTGGTGGAATCGTGTGCCGGCACAGGCTCGTCCCGCGTACACGCTAGATTGTGCCGCTCTGACTCAGCAATAGCACCTGGATGAGTCGCAGGCTTCATCAACTGGAAACGAAGACACTGCTCAGTGAAGGAGATCCAACAATATATTCGTAGCCCAAAATGACTGGATATTTGGAGTGTACTGAGGTTTTATAATGTGAAAGGTTCTCAATTAAATTGTGATCTTTTCACAACAATTTCCCACTGCTCTGAGGAACAATTTTGAATACATCCTTCCAGGCACACTTGAAATGGAATGGCAATCTGCAGTCGGTATTTAAATTCTCAAATCAAGCGGACCCAAAATAAATGGGTAGGAATCCCTGCGTATATATTCGTGTCCTGTCAGTGTTAATATGGTATATCATGGGCAGCAAGGCTATTTATGTATGCCTAGCATGGTGGAAAAATTGCTAACCTACAATAACAAGCGCAATCACTTCAGCTCTGATACCTGCCTCATATTCCAGTGCTAAGAGCAACGTGTTGATCCTTAGAGTTACATAACGAGTCACCTGGAGGTCTTACATAAAATAAGGATTGAAATGAATACAATGATCATATATATTCGTAGGCTTAGAGCCTTATTGATTTTACATTGGATGCTTAACATCAGTTACACATGGATGGGATTTATGATTGATGATATGCTTGCTGAGGGAGCAGTGGTGCTGCAATGGTTAACAGTGCTTTATAAAGCTGTAAATCTGAGTTAACCAACCAGTGGTAAGTGATTTCTGAACCTAGAATAATAGGTTTTCCCCTTTGCATTCTGACCACAAGTATTGTGATTAATGCAGACATGATTGCTTGTAAAAGGTTTCGGTTTGGTGTTTTCACATCTTAACTCCTGTTTTGTTGCCAAAAAAAGGGGAAAACCTATTCTCAATACACATTTATGTTCACATATCTATTCGTTTAGCTCTGACATGTCTCTCAAATGTACTAAAAAGATATACACGTTCCCGTTTATATACTTAATATTAGTAAACCTACATATTCCTACACACATGCAAACATGTAGATGGACACACACAAACAGACATCTATGTAGATATACACTGACGTGTAGTAAAAATAATATCGCACCTTGAGTTATGATGTGCATCAAAGTCAAACACCTCTGTATTTAAAACATGTGGGAATATATTGAACTGGAGCAAAGCAGCTTTCTGAGCTGAGCCCTCCCTGTGAGCCACATGTCGGAAACACCAGGGCTGATCCACTCTGAATGGCATGGCGTCACATGGTCTGGCCCTGGGATTTATACATGTGTAAAATGGGAGAGGGCAGCCTGAGACGGTCCAACACCAATGTGTCTGGCTGAATAGTGCCCTCTCATGCTCTGTTTACGTGGCCCATATGAGGTCTCAGCCTAAGTCTTCTGCGTTTAGTCTCTTGGATTATCTTAAAGAAATGTAATACTGTACTTTAATTAAAACATTGTTGCTACAAAGACTTTAAATATATGGCTTTGAATAATTGTCAACTTGAAAATATGCTTTTTAACAATTGGGCTCTTACTGGCTCAGTTGCCAGTACTGTTTGTTACGTTGAGTTAATATTAGAAATGAGAGCTCAAACAAAACTAACAAATAGTTCAACTTAGAAAAAAATAATTGATTATGGCTATACAAAAATAAAATGTCAGACTGATGTCTAAGATAATACATTTTGATTCTGTTCCTTAAATGTATATTTACTGATTGTCACAAAAAAAATCCTGTGCATTGAGGATTAGAGACTTGATTTAGTTTTGAAAGGCTGTGGTGCGACAGAAACAGATTGTATTGCCCCAGTGTGGTGTTTACATGCCACGGGACACTGGCGCGGTTCGTAAAGAACAAAAATTCCTCCCAAAATGAATGCGCTCGCTTTAGAACTGTCTGGGCACCAGCTTCCTTTTTTATACTGCGGGTGCGTGCCACCAAACACTGTGGCTGAAGTAGAGGTCATCAACCCTTTGAGACGAAGGCACTGTGCCACATAGACTCGTCATGAACAAAATAAAAAAGTGTACAATATTTAAACATAGATTTTTGAATATACATTAATTTTTGGGGGGGTATTTCATTACTGACTTTGACAAGTTTACCATTTCAGAATAATAATATTTTACAGCCCATTGTCAGTTCACTCAGATTGGTTAGAGAGTAAACAAGTATAAATATAGTACATTCTACAGAAAGTGATACATATTCTCTTTAATACTAATGTTGAAGATTGTCGGACGACTCGGAGGCAAGTTTTCCAGTAAGGGCTTACGCCATGTTTTATTAAGGGCTTATGCCAACTTAACACTAAGGGTGTAACACTTTCCCAGGGGTTAGGGATCCTAGGCTGGGTCCTCTACTCGGACCTTCCCCACGGTCTGTTCCTTGGCTCAGCTGGCTGTCCGGGCTGCCTCCTCCGCACTGGCCGAGGGCTGATCCAACTTCGGCCGGCCGAGGAGTGAAGCTACTCCTAGCGCTTATGCTGGCCCTTCTCCAGACCCTTCTCCTCACCCCTGGTCCTAACACCCACCCTTCACGTTTCCCGTTCCTCGCTACGACCCCTCTTACGTCACGGGCTCTCCCTAAAATATCCCCCAGGGACATGACATAATTCCGCTGGCCGGCGCGCATGACGCCACTTCCCATGACGTCACCGCCCCAGCCAGCGAGCGTGATGCCATGCCCCCCAACTAGTACTCTACATTACCCCCCCCCCCCCGTGAAAAAAAACAGCCGACCCGGCTGCAACCTTTACGTAAGCGGAGCCCGATTCCGGACGGAAGGCCTAACAACCAAACAAACGCATGTGCCCGAAGGCAAAACCGGCCACTAGAAAAGGAACCCAACATTAGGGCAGCACGGCACAACAACAACAATCCAAAACAAAAAAGTCCGAAGGTCTCTTCTGCACGACAGCGCCAAACTTGGGCCGGGCCCGGGGCCCGATGAACGGCCATCAATGCCATCACCGGAGCCGCATCCCCCTCGAGCGGGTATGAGCTGCCGGCCCGCTCCCTCATGTGGCGTCGGCCGCCAATACAAGTGGCTCGTCAGCGGCGACAAGCTCCCCTTCGTGGCCTCCGGTGGCCGAGGAGCCTTTGCAGGCGTCACTTGGGAGGGCTCTGGGGGCACACACACAGGGCGGACATCGCCTCCGTCATCAAGACCCGGCCGATCAGGCACGTCGGACGCATCACCCGCCGGCTGCTCCGGGAGTGGGGATGGATCCACCGGGGTAGATGGCACATAACGCTTGAGCCGGGACGGGTGCACTATCTATCGCCGGCGACCGAACCGAATCCGAATGCACTGCGGTTATCGGACCTCCACAACCTGTAATTTGGGAAATATGCCAACGGGAACCTGGAGGCAATGCAGCCACGCCTTCTGGCCCGCTACCCACGGGAGGCCAGCTGCCTGGTGTTTGGGCAGGCGCTCGTTAGCCACCTGCCGGCTGGCGGGATTCTCGACAGCGGCCTGCCGTTCCTCGCGCAACCGTTCGAGTGCGACCTTCAAGGGGACCGGCACCACCGACCCCTTCCCAGAGGACCCGACATCCATCTGGACGTGCATCGGGGGCTCCAGTTCCCTACTGTACATCAAATAGAAAGGCGAGAACCCCGTTGAGGCATGAGGAGCAAACCAATATTCCGCCAAGACCACCGGAACGAACAGGTGCCAGTCTGACTGGGGCGTGTTCACGTGGTGGCACAGCATGGACGTGAGGGTGCAGTTCAACCACTCTACCATCCTGTCCGACTGGGGGTGGTAGGGCAAGGTGCGGATCTTCTTGGTGCCAAGGAGGTCGCACACCTCCTTGAGCAACCTAGACGAGAAATTTCGCCCCTGGTCAGTTAGCAATTGTTCCGGCGCGCCCTTGTCCAACACGTACCCCTGGACGAATGCCTAGGTGATAGAACAGGCCGACCGGTCCACCAAAGGCCACGCCACATGCCAACGTGTGAGGTACTCG